AGTGCTTTGACGGATGCCTGTGTAAGTATATCGTGTCCGCCTCCCCACCATGCCCAAACTGGTGTAGTGAGGAATATCGAAAACAGAATGAGTATAGTATAGAAACGTTTCATAATTCTCCTTTTGTTAGTCCGCTGCCAGATATTCTGTAGGACTTGCTTCCTGCCATTGGAATTGAAGTTCAGCCGTTTCATGCGGCTTAAACGATGTTGCGACTGTTTCAACAGCCGGTCCGACAATGTCAATCTCACTTAGATCTGCGATACCGTACCCCATTTCATTCGCGTAATGAAAAAGCCCAATCTCCAACGGCTCGAATCCCATCGCTTTTGTCGTGACAGCGTCGGCTGCAAACACATCGTCACTGGCAACTGCGATACCGAGTGGAACAGAATCGGTGCCGCCGGGCCCGTTGCCTTGTAACCCAACAGTCCCATCAACGATAGCGATATCAGGCTTAAGGTGACGTGAAAGGCGGAGCAGGTTAATATTGAGCGTCTGCGCCTCGCGCGGAAGTACCCGGTCTGCGTGGCTGTGGTAGCCGTGCATTTTAATCCGGTCTTCCTTGTGCAAGGTCCCCATAATCATATTCTTCATAGCAAGTGTCACGACCCCAGCGTCATGCGTTTTGGCGACAGCAACCGAGATGGTGCAGGGGCAATCCAGTACTATTTTCGGCATCCGCACTGTATCTTCATCGCGCCCAGCAAGAAAAACCTTGGTTTCTACCCATTCGGTTTCTTTATGTAAATCCACGAGTCGGATTGGGAGATCGTACTCGGCTTGGAGTGCCTCATAGCCAAAAATTTGAAACGCCTCACCAGAAAATTTCTCATTGGCACCTTCGGCACTATTACCTCTTTTTGAGCGGATGTGGTGTACTCAGCAGAGCACGCGTCGCATCGCATCAACATGCGAACGAGGCGAGTTGAATGTCGTACTGAGAGAGAATTCGGTTTACAGGACCTGCCTCACGGGCCTTCGGTGTGAGCTGCATCCCGTATATGTCAACGCCTCAAAACGTTAGAGCGTCGCCTGCCGGTTTTGGCAGCCCACCTTTCGTACCTCCATCGGTTCACCTCCTATGTGTCAGAATTTCGCAAACTCAGAGAAGCATGCCTATTCCGCCCTGATCGGGTTGATTCGGAAACCCCACACCGACAGGGAGGGAGTCCCGTTCACCTTCACCTATTCGTATCCACCTCTTGCGTGGCTCGCGGTGAGCGCTGCGGTGAGCCGTGTAGAAATAGACACCGCTCGCCACAGGTTCACCAACGCATTTCTGCCATCCCATACGCTGCACGGCTCGAGACGCATAGATATCCGCAGCAGCATGATGTCCTAACGTCAGCAATCGAAGTCCACACGTCCATCTGCAGATAGATGGAAATGGCACAACGATCCGCAGGCTCTGATAACTGAGACGGTATCCACGTCTCGGTACTTGAACGGGTTCGGATAGTCGCCTACGAACAAAGACAGCACGTCTCTTTCGGGTGAGTATCGCACTGCTCGCTCCAGAAGACAAACGAAACCCACGCTGATACGCGCATCGTGTGAGACTGGTGCCTGCGCAAGTGACAACCACTGATCACCTCTGGTCGCAGTGACATCTCAACATGCTCTGCCGGATGAAGCGACGGGGCAGCGCCGTTGCTTCTATCTGCTGCTGCGACTAACAGGAGATCCGCCACATCCACAACGCCATCCTTGTTCATATCTGCTGTGTTCTCACCCGTCTGACCCAGACGCCTCCGAAGCCACAGTCATATCCTAAGACTCAACACCGCCATCACCGTTCACGTCTCCTGTAGGTTGTGGGGGATCCCTCATCTCTCCATGTCTCAATCTGCACGCTAAGAAGTCGCATTGCTGTCGGTCAGTTTCAACATCACTAACCTCGGCAGCGCGGTGAGGCGGTCAGCACTTCAAACGTGAATGCCGCAAAGCGTCCATCCCCTTCGCTACTCGCTTGTAGAGAGGTCGCCCCAATGTGACCTATTGCCATTCACCACGGTCGGCACAACGAAGCCCCCGCCGGCAGATACCGCCATCCACACTTGACACACAACGCAGTGCTGCACGCTCGAAAATGAGTTCTATTTGATACTCACATCCGCGCCCTCTGCGATGTTAGCGTTCACCGTTAGTTGGTCACCTATAGTGCCAGACCCTACCGACGCAGGCGAGAGACTCACACGCGCAACATCGCCGTTGACAGATACCTCAGGCACTGCTGTTAGGCTATACGTGTTCAACCGAATAGATTGTGAGATGTAGGTGTGACAATCCACAGCAGCGTGGTGCCATCACCACTTCCGCTGGCGAGTGTGGTGCCATCAGGCGAGAAACGACACGCTACGGGCAGAACTCGTATGCCCTTGGAGCGTCTGGTATCTGCTCCCCCGTCTCTACCTCCAGAGATGATGTTTTTGTCCCCACTCCCTGTTGCGAGTTAGTGCCATCAGGCGACGATTACGCTAGGACAGAACTCGTATGCCCTTGGAGCGTCTGTATCTGCTTCCCCGTCTCTACCTCCCAGAGACGGATGGTTTTGTCCCCACTCCCTGTTGCGAGTGTAGTGCCATCAGGCGAAAACGATACGCTCCAGACCCCATCCGTATGCCCTGTGAGCGTCTGTATCTGCTTCCCTGTCTCTACGTCCCATAAACGGCTGGTCTTATCCAGGCTCCCTGTTGCGAGTGTGGTGCCATCAGGCGAAAACGATACGCTATAGACCCCATTCGTATGCCCTGTGAGTGTTTGTATCATCTTCCCTGTCTCTACGCCCCATAAATGCACGGGTCCGTCCGCAATTCCGCTTGCGAGGGTGCCATCAGGCGAAAACGCCAAGCTACCGGGAAGATATGTGTGCCCTGTGAGCGTTCGTATCTGCTTCCCCGTCTTTACATCCCAGAGACGGATACCAATGTATCCGCAAGAAGTCCCGCTTGCGAGGGTGCCATTATCGGGAGAAAACGACGGTAACTGACAGTACCTATATGCCCTCGGAGTGTTTGTATCTGCCTCCCCGTTTTTACATCCCATAAACGGATGGTTCCGTCCTGATTCCCGCTTGCGAGCGTTCTACCATCAGGCGAAAACGATACGCTAAGGACAGAACTCGTATGCCCTCGGAGTGTTCGTATCTGCCTCCCCGTCTCTACGTCCCATAGACAGATGCCGCCCAAACTCCCACTGGCGAGGGTGCTACTATCGGGAGAAAACATACACTAACGACATAACCCGTATCTCCTTCAAGCGTGCGGATGTGGTCCCCTGTTTCTGCGTCCCAGAGACGGATGGTCTTGTCCTGCCCCCCGCTTGCGAGTGTGGTGCCATCAGGCGAAAACGACACACTCAAGACAACCACCCCTATGCCCTTCAAGCGTGCGGATGTGATCACCTGTCGCTACATTCCATAAACGGATGGTTCCGTCCCCATTTCCGCTTGCGAGTGTGGTGCCATCGGGACTAAATGATACGCTATCGTCCCAATTCGCACTTCCTTGGAAGGTTTGGAACTGTTCGCCCGTCACTACGTCCCATAAACGGATAGTTTATCACGACTCTCGCTTGCGAGTGTGGTGCCATCGGGAGAAAACGACACGCTATAGACCCAACCGTATGTCCTTCAAGCGTGCGGATTGTGATCGCTTGTCGCTAGTCCCATAAATGGATGGTTCCATCTCCATTCCCGCTTGCGAGTGTGGTGCCATCGGGAGAAACGACACGCTACCGGCAGCACTCGTATGTCCCTCAAGCGTGCGGAGCTGATTCCCTGTTTTACGTTCCATAAACGCACGGTTTGTCCATACTCCCACTTGCGAGTGTGCTCCCATCAGGCGAGAAAACGACACGCTCAAGACACTATCCGTATGTCCGTGAGTAGGTCAGTGCCTCGCCAGTCTCCACATCGTTAGACCCAAAATACCGATAGAACTCGCAGCCGCCAGACGCGTCGCATCTGGGGAATACGCTATCTCGTTATACGTCCTTATCGAGGCGGAGTTTGGCACCTTCGGGTAAACCCCATGCGTGTGGTCTTGCGCGAAGGTGTTCGATGAAAAAATGGTGAACGCACACAATAGCGTCAAAACACATAAAAATGTTTCTGTTTTTATGAAAGTCTCCTGCCCATAAAAAGATATGTGGCATCCAGTAAACCGCATCCAGAGTAAAAGCGGTGTGGAGATTTTTGTTTTTTAACCTAAGTTGCCAATGGTAGCGTGATAGCACCCACAGTCCTAAAGACTGGGGATAACCTCGCTTCGTAGACAATAGCAGTTTTCCCGAAGGTCAACCGTCTTACGTTGTCTCCACCAGCAGAGGCGATTCCCGTTGCGTGAATTAAATCGCTTCGGGCATATCAAGGCGAAATCTTGGAAACCATCCCCGCCTGCCTCTATCCGTCTCGGATAGAAAAAGTTGAAAAGGAGGGCAGCAATACAACGTGCGGGATTCACCTCCGCTCCGAAACTTACGCCGAAACTGCCCATATACTTTTAGAGTGGTATTAAACCTGACACGTTTACCACCTCTTACAATGGCGGGCAACTCCTCTACAGAGAGGTAGAGGGTAAGAGCGTTGCCCAAGTGTCAATAGTAATTATACCACAAATTTACGCGTAAATGTCACATCTTTTTTCAATGACAAACCCATACGCCGTCTAATCCCCACAGCTAAAGCATGGGGTTTTGACGGAAGATTGATAAACTGTTAGTTTGTGCATCTTCAGCACGCAGGCTAACAACCTATGCTACGAAACTCCTGCGGCTCGTCAACTTTTTTTATCAAAAACGGAATTTCTATGCCTAAAATTCGTAGGTAGCAACTTGGGTTATTTTTAACGCCTTCAATCCGGCGTGAGTCGCGATTAGGAGATCGCCCTATAGCAGGGGGATCGCGAGTGAAACTCGCTCTTACAGAGAATAGATACCTCATTTTGTTTGTGTTAGCAATTTGGATATCCAGAGCAGAAACCCAATCGTTGAAAATGTCAATCAAGAATTTGCCTTAGAAATCCCTCATGTTCTTCTAATAGTATGTTCGCGTCCGTCGGATTCAGTCCTTTCGCGAGCATTACAATAGCCAGCTTAGCACGACCGCCTGCCCGTGCTAACGCTTCCTCAGCCACCGCGGCATCAACCCCAATGATGGCTTGGACAATTCGGATGCTCCGCGCGACCAGTTTCGTGTTAGAGGCGTGTACATCTACCATCAGATTGTTGTAGATTTTACCCAGTTTAATCATAGAAACGGTCGTCAACATGTTCAGAACCAACTTTGTGGCTGTTCCCGCTTTCAATCGGGTTGAGCCAGCGATAATCTCCGGTCCGACAATGGGGGCGATGAAATGTGTCACCCATCCTTTTAATTGCTCAGGAGGTGGGACGCAGCAGAGCAATATTGTCGTCGCGCCAATAGCATGCGCCTCCCTTAAAGCCCCTATAACATAAGGCGTCCGTCCACTGCTTGCAATTCCGACAAGCACATCCTGTGGTGTGAGTTGTCGCTTTTGGACAGCGCACGCACCACTTTCAGGCTTATCCTCTTCACCTTCCACGGAGCGACGTAAGGCAACATCCCCACCGGCAATTATCCCTTGGACCATCTCCGGCGGTGTGCTGAAGGTTGGTGGGCATTCGGAGGCATCTAACACCCCAAGTCTACCGCTCGTGCCTGCCCCGACGTAAAATAGTCTGCCACCGGTGCGAAACGCAGCGACGCATAATTCAATAGCGTGGGCAATCGCTTCGGATTCTGCTTCTACTGCCTTAATCGCATTTCCGATCTTCTTCGTGAAAAATCCGGACGATTTCTGACGTTGACTTCAGATCAATGTCAAGAGAATTCAGGTTCTGCTGTTCTGTTTTTTTAATTATACCTTGCGGTTCGGTGAGGCGGGTTTGGATATTGACGTGCCTTTCCGTATATCCGCCCTCCATTTCATTACGGGCTAACGTTTTTGAAATTTTTTAAAAACTAAAACCTATTCACCTGACACGATGTCCGGCTACAAACTCGCTTGCGCTAACAACACAGCACCATACGCAGGCTCATGTTTTGGGAGTTGCACCGATGCCGCTGGTTGAATCCTCGCAAACTCGGTGGCGGAGTTTATCGGCGAACATCGTTTGATGGATGAGATTGCCACCATTGAGCACAATATCAAACGGCTCTGTGAATTTCAACTGTTTAATTACGCTGGTTGCGGCACAAACGAGTTCATCAGCAGCCTCGTCAACAATGGAGTCTGCGACCGTATCCTTTGTTTTGGCAGTATCAAACACTACCTCTGCCAACTGTGCAATCGTATCTCGACTCGCGGCATGCACCCAGCGAATCAGTTCAGCCGGTTCGTTGAGTTCAAGTCCATTGAGGATTCGATCTGTCAATTCGGTTTGATCACCTCTACCATCAGCGGCACGAGCAATAGCTCGGAGTCCTTTTATAGCGATATCGTAACCGCTCCCTTCGTCTCCCAGCAGATACCCCCATCCACTCGCGCGTGCGTCTCTGCCATCGGCATTGATGCCGTAGACAATCGAACCGGTTCCAGAGATGACAATTACACCTTCCTGTTTCTCCGTGCCACCAACGAGAGCGATATGTGCATCGTGGGTCAAGACCCGATTTTTGCAAATGCCGATCTCATCACAAATTCGTCCAATCACTTCTCGGTCTACGGGGACGTCCCAGACCCGCCATGCCCAAACAGAACCGGACAGCACTTCCTGATGGAACGCCTGCTTTTGCATAGAGCTCCCCGATGAGGTCTTCCAAAACTGCCTGCGTTTTCGCCTCGCCAACGACGTGGTAATTTGCTGGTCCCGATTGCACTTGTGCAAGGTGTTGCCCCGTTCCTGTCGTCAGGATCCCAACCGTTTTTGTCCCGCCGCCATCAATTCCAACGATGTACATAATACTTTGGTGTAGCACCCCTATAAGAACTTGACAATTCGCCGCGCATCCTCTATAATATAATTTACACGATTTAGCAAATAGTTGCAATAAAAATTTTTTCGGTAGGTGCCTCAAAATGCAGAACAAAAACTACATCGCGCTCATGATTTTATGTGGAAGCCTTGTGTGCCTCGGTTGTTCTCAAGATACGGTGCAATTTGAGTGGCGACAACTTCAAAGCGGGACGGATGAACATCTTTACGGCATCCATTTTGTAGATACGAAACGCGGATGGGCAGTCGGCACTGGTGGAACAGTACTCTCTACGGTTGACGGTGGAATCTCTTGGAAAGCGGCTTCGATCTCACACGACACACTGACACAGGTTAATTTCGCGACCCCAAACAGCGGCTGGGCTGTCAGCATCGGGAAGGTGCATTATACGGGCAGCGGTGGTGCCTCGTGGAACTTGCAACACCAAGCACGCGGCGAGGGTAAGACCCCTCCTGGCATCTTGGATCTACATTTCGCTAACACGAGGCATGGCTGGGCAGTTGGCGGGAAAGGGACAGTGCTCAAAACAGAGAATGGCGGAAGTCGTTGGGAAAGTCAGAGAGGTCTGTCAGATAAACATTTATGGGGTGTGTATTTTGTTGATCCAGCACACGGATGGATTGTTGGGGAAGAGGGTGAAGTCCTCCATACCCAAGATGGCGGGAAACGATGGGTTCAACAGAGAAGTAACGCCGAGCAGCCTTTATTCGCTGTTCATTTTGCAAACCTAACGCACGGTTGGATTGTGGGAACAAACGGCTTGATCCTCCATACGACTGATGGCGGAATAACGTGGATTCGGCAAAAGACTCCTGTGAACCTGAATCTACGAGACGTCGCGTTTCGTGATGAAAAACGGGGATGGGTGATCGGCGAAAAAGGACTAATCCTCCATACAACAGACGGTGGCAACACGTGGAATCGTTATCCTACGCCTGCTCAACATAACTTGCAGGATATCTATCTCCAGAAAAATTCCGGTTGGATCGTCGGTGCGAAAGGGACTATCCTGAGAGGTCATTGAGATTTCACACTTCATAATTTAATCTGCCACAGTTTTCCACAGACCTTCGTTGCTATGGACATTCGCGAAACGGAAGATATTCACCTACCACTACAGAAACACTTATGACTGATAGTGAAGTGCCTTCACGCTTTACGCCCACAATTTATAAATCCAAGTGGAGAGACACAGCACAACGCCACCGACGGCAATCGTATTTCGAGTGATCGATGAACAATGGGTCCAAGCGTTTTTTAACCACATCGGAAAGAATGCCGACCCGATAGTTAATCCAATAATTAAATAAGAAAACGGGTGGTAACGCCAAGCGTCTGCGAAATGTCCCTGTGTTAAAGCAAGGCACGCCCGCGTCATCCCACACCCAGGACATGGAACATCGGTTACTAAATGAAGTATACACGGAATCAATGAAACATCTGCTGGTGATATTTCTGAAATTGTAGTGTAAATCCCTACTACACCCAACCCGATAAGAAAGAGGCGAGCGAGAAATGTATGGTTAAACATTAAGGAATTTGTCCGTAGAGTCTGTTAATCTGGTGCTGTTGAATAGCGAGTGAAGCAACACCAATACCGAAAATTGCTAACAGAACGCAAATGATAGGCAAGTTTGAATCAAATACCAAATCATTATCAGCCTGAACTTTATTGATACCATTTGCCATCTTGTACTCATAATAGATACCGAAGATGCCGCAAGTAATAATCGAAAGAAGAAACCAGAGCCAAAAAGAGTACTCATCCCGCTTCAACCAAGCATTAAGTGTTGCCATCTGCTTGTATTGCCAATAAAGCCCATAGATACCACAAGTAACCAAGGTTACCAAAATTCCAATCATGATACTCCGTTCACCTTCGGACTCCGGATACGGGTATTGATTAAGCATAAAATTCTCCATTTTGTAAGAACACAGAACTTGTTAAGAATTATTTTCCTCAAACAGTACTATTTTGATTGTCTGCTGCCATAGAGACAAGCAAAACTGCCTTTCCTACAAGACGTTATCACCTAATTTTACGGGAAACCGGAAGCCCAATGCTTTAGCGTTGGGAGGAAAGCCCGCCCTCGTGTGTTAGGCCATAGCGTTTTTTTTTGAAAAAACACTTGACATTTCTATGAAATTGTGGTTTAATATATGTATCAAGTTGGCAGACATACAGAGCGTTACCGCTTGGTAACGTGTCTGCCTCCCACTCTGTAGGGGATAAATGCTTGATACTTGATAAACCATGAGATTAACATTTAAGTATCCTGTGTATCCAACACAGGAAGAAGAAAGAACTTTAGAAAAGTGGTTAGACCACTTGTGTGAACTTCAGAACGCTGCGCGTAACAATCGCAAGTTTGCGTATGAAGAAGAAGGTCGTTTTGTTTCGCGATATGACCAAGAACAACTTTTGAAGGTTGCTCGTGAGAAATATGACGATTTTCGTGAAGTGCCTCAAGATTTTCAAGTCTCCATACTTAAGCGCGTTGATAAAGCCTTTGATGCGTTCCGTAGGCGTTGTAAGGAGGGTGCTGAAAAAAAAGGGTACCCTCGCTTCAAAATGCGGGTCCGTTCTCTGACGTGGTGCTTGCGAAAGCACAAACTCAAAACAGGTGAACGTGTCCGCCAAAATCCGATAATAGAAACCGATTTTAGACATCATCGCTTGAAAGTGCCAAAGTTAGGCGAAGTCAAGATATACATGCATCGTCCCTTACAAGGTGACCCGAAAGAAGTCACTATCGTCAAGAAAGCCAGCGGTTGGTATGCTCATATCTCTTGTGAGATACCTGATATGCCAAAAGTTGAACCAACAGATGCTATCGCTGTTGATGTCGGCACGACACACTACTTGACCTCCTCTGAAGGTGAAAAAGAGGATAATCCTCGCTGGTATCGTCAAGCAGAAGGTTTGCTGCATAAACACAATCAGACAATGGCACGGCGAAAAAAAGGAAGCAAGCGTTGGTATAAAGCCGTGCATGCCGTTGCTCTGCATCATGAACGAACTGCCAACAAACGAAAAGACTTTATCGGGAAAAGAGTCTATGACCTCTACCACCACAAAGAAAACAATGTGTTAGTGGCAGAGAACTTACGCGTATCTAACATGGTTCAGAACAAACACCTCAGCAAAAGCATTGCCGATGCGTCTTGGGGGACATTCTTTGAGTGGTGCGGGAACATAGCCGAAAGAGACGGTTTCCATTTCCACCAAGTTGACCCCGAAGAACACCTCGCAGACTTGCTCCGCTTGTGGTAAAAAAGCACCGAAAAAGTTATCCTTATCGGTGAGAACCTTTAACTGTCAGTTTTGTGGCAACTCTATAGATAGAGACCACAACGCTGCATTAAACATACTCCTAAGGGCGGCTTGCGCCCATCGTGGAGAGCGTTGGGTTACCAACCTCTATGAAACGAGAAACTTATCGGTAGACCGATAGGAAACCTGTTAACACTCTTAACAGGTTTCCCAAGTCTTTAGACTTGGGTACTTGACAAGGATTATTCACGCGGGAAGCGAAACTGTATCGGGAACGACAATCTCGCGAGCAATGATCTTTGCCTTCAGCGATTCAGCAGTCGTTATGATGTCGTCCGAAAGTAAGGGTTGATTGTGTTCATCGACAGCATAACTGACACCACCATCTTCAAGTCCGAAATATCGAACCCCTGCCATAAATTTGCCCTCAAGGGTCTCATGGATGATCTTCTGGACAGAAACTGAAAGTTCCTTGACCATGCTCGTCAAGACGATTCCGGGGGCGAGATGGTTACCGTTGGAGTCAACCCAGATGATGAACTTTTGCTGTGCTTGGGCGGCTTCAAGTACTCCTTGACCGGATCCACCAGCAGCAACGTAAATTACATCAATTCCGCTTTCATATTGTGCCAATGCCAATTCTTTCGCTCTATCTGGTTGCCCAAAACCGGCTACACTTTCGCTAATGTATTCTACGGAGATTTCCGCGTCTGGATTGATAGCCTGAATCCCAGCGACGTAACCGGCTTCAAATTCGCGTAACAACGGAACATCCACGCCGCCAATATAGCCGATTTTACCGCTCTCCGTTTTTAATGCAGCAATTGCCCCAACCAGAAATGAACCTTCGTTTGCTTTATAATTGATAGCGGCTACATTTGGAATATCAAGGGTAACATCAAAGATTGCAAACTTGACATCAGGAAATTCAGGTGCTACGATTGCGAGAGGTCCTCCCATTTGATAACCTGCCGTTAGAATGAGGCTCCGAATTTTGTGCAGCCTCTCTGAGCAGCATTGCTGACACCTCTGGATCGGTTTCCACTCCGTTAACCTCTGTGAGGCTAATCCCAAGTTCTGCCTCAGCAGTTTTCACACCAATATGGAAGCCATCACAGTAAGCCGCGGAGCCAACACAATCGCTTGGATATATCATGGTTACGCGAAGCGGTGCAGCATCTGTTTCGACCGGCGGTTCAGTAAGAATGACATCTTGAATCGTCTCACAACCACAGATTAAAAGTAGCCCTACTGTCAACAAAAGGTATTTGCTCAAAATGTTAAACCTATTCACATTTCCCCCCGAAAAAGACTTTGTCGCAAATATGAGGTTCTGAAAAATCGTTTCGTCAACGACACTGACTCATCCCGATTTCAAAGAAAACACTCCTCACAAACCTGATACGGATCAGTGGTGTAAACGCGATAAATGACACGTCCCGAGAAATCGAGCATATCTTTCATTCGATCATAAATAGCCTGATGTAAAATGCGTTGCAAAACTGAATGACGCGCAACCCACTCGGTTTCTATACTCTCGTCGCTCGTACTTAATTCACCACAGACGTAATCTCCTAAGAAACCAAACATTAATTTAGTAGGAGACTTGATGTTTGAATAGATACCAACCAGTGATCCAATTGATGCAGTGATGCCAGCCTCTTCTTGAATTTCACGTTGAAACGCTTCAATAAGATTTTCACCTTCTTCGACTTGACCACCGGGAAACTCCCAGCCACGGCGCGGACCCCGTATGAGCAAGATTTTACCGTTCGGATGACTTACCAATCCAGAGACAGCAACAATGTGTTTCGGATGAATCATTTAAACCTCACTCAGGTTACACACCTATTGCATACCCATCGCGCCTCGGGTCGGCACCCCCCATAAAACTTCCTTCCGCCGGATCAAAGGCGATGCCCTGACCACCACCGACAGTTGCTGTCCAATCGGGTAACACCTCTACCTCATGTCCACGTGCTTCTAATGCTGCACGGACAGCAGCAGGAATACGTCCCTCCATGCTGACATGCGTTCCCGGATTTACCAAGCGAACGCGCGGTGCTTCAATCGCCGCCTGAACGTTCATTCCGTGTTCAATCAGATTCAACACCATCTGTAACGTCGTTTGAAGGATGCCGTGGCTTCCCGGTGTGCCAATCGCAGCGAACGGATTCCCATCTTTCCAAACTTGGCACGGCGACATGCACATCTCTATTCGTTTATGCGGTCCAACGGCGTTCGGGCTTTCGGGGATTCTGTCGAACCAGTTCATGAAATTGTTGAGAAACATCCCCGTTGACCCGAGAATTACGCCTGAGCCGAAAGGTTGTCCGAGACTCTGTGTCACTGCGACGATATTGCCCTCTGCATCGGCGGTGTCAAAGTGGGTTGTGCATTCGGTTGTCCAATCATCAGCACGGATTTCACCGGGGAGCGTGTCCTTTGACCAGCGTTCACCACCGCTGACTGCGGCTTGCTCACCAATGCGTTCACGTTGTGCGCGTGCGTAGTCTTTAGATAACAGGCGTTCAATCGGCGGGTTCGGACGTGGGGCATATTCGGCTCTATCCGCACTCGCTAACTTAATTGCTTCAATCAGTAGATGCAGGTATTCCGGGGTATTGTGTCCGAGTTCACCGAGGGCATCGTTTTCCAAAATATTCAGTGTCTCTAAGTACTGAAAGCCGGAACACGGCGGGGGTGGACAGTAGACTTCGTAATCTTTGTAAGTAACGGAGATAGGTTCCTGCCACTCCACCTCAAAGTCAGCTAAATCCTTTTCGGTAATCAGTCCATCGGTTTCTTCGGAAAAACGGACAATTTCTTTGGCAATTTCACCACGATAGAACGCCTCTGCACCCGCCTTCAGCGACTTGGCGGAATGTGTTCGCTAAATCCCGTTGCACCAAAACCTCGCCGGGGTGTGGTGTTCTCCCTCGTGAGGCGATCACCTCTGCAGCTCTTTCCGAAAAATAGGGACGCGCCCCTGCGATGAATTCCGCGTTCTTGACCGTGACAGCGTACCCATTCTCCGCCAATTCAATCGCCGGAGCAAAAACATCTGCGTGATCCATACTCCCGTAACGGTCTAAGAGGGCAAGCCATCCGCCACATCCACCCGGGACCATCCCCGCCCGGATGCCAATCTGTTGACTTTCAAGTGTCGGATAGACATCCAGCGTCGCTGCGTAAGGGGCAGTGCCCAGATAGTCTATCACGCGGTGTCTTTTTTCCTTCGCGCTATAGATCAACATATACCCATTGCCAGCAATACCCGACATATAAGGCTCAACAACGTTGAGTGTCGAAGCCACTGCGACTGCTGCATCAAACGCGTTGCCCCCAGCGAGCAACATGCGTGCGCCAGCAAGGCTTGCGAGCGGATGCGCACTTGTCGCCATTCCGCGTGTACCCGTTACCGTGGATCGATGCGTTGTGCCGTGTGATGGAAAAGCCATGCTTACCTCCTCGTTCTTTTCTATAGCAAGTTTCAGCTTGAAAACTTCGTTAAGGACCTCCAAAACCGATGCCATCGCAACTGCCAGATTAATTTCCAGCGGGTGACGTGATGCGCAAAGAGTCTTTGCCCATCCAACTCAAGCACAGGAATCAGATGCTTATATTTCGTGAATAGTCCCAGATTCTTCGTGATGTCAATTTCTTCTATTGCAATAAACGATGCCTTTGCTCTGGTGCTTTGCAGCACTGCCTTTGCCTCGTCGCAGAGCGGGCAATCTGGTTTCGTGTAGAACTGGAGTTGCATCGTTTTGGTTTTCAACAAAATCGCCGAGAAGCCAAAGTGAACTACATCTTCTTGAGTTAACCCAAAATCAGTTTGACATCGGGCACAAATGGTGAAACGATACTTATATCATAAAGGATAGGTCTATGAATTACAAACGGTCCACAATAAAAGACAATATTGGACAATCTATATTACAGAGTTTAGCACAAGTAGCCAAAAACCGCACCCACTTTTTACACCAGTCACTGTGGATTCTGTGATAGAATCATGTTAAATCTTTGGGCAAGTCCCAAAGGTCTATCAAGGGAATAGTCGGTTTTGGAATCCCAATCCTTTAGGTTTGGGAGGAAAAACCGCCCTATTAGAAAGGACCAAACCGCCGAAAAAAGATTTGACATTTTTGGTACAAATGTAGTATAATTAGAGTATCACGTTGGCAGACATGTGAAGCGTAACCGCAAGGTTGCGTGTCTGCCTCCCACTTCACAGGGGATAAAAGCGTGACACGTGATAATCCAATGAGATTAACATTTAGATACCCTGTGTATCCTACGAAAACGCAGGAAGAAACATTATTAGATTGGCTTGACTACCTTTGCGAACTGCAGAACTCTGCGCGGCATGATAGGCTTGTTGCGTATGAGACGGAAGGTGCTTTTGTTTCGCTCACTGACCAGCAGAACCTTCTGACTGCAGCGCGTGAGAAATATGACGACTTCCGTGAAGTTCCACAAGATTTCCAAAATCATGCCTTGCGAAGAAACGACAAGGCATTTGTGAACTTCCGTAGACGTTGTAAGAACGGAGACGCTAAAAAAGGGTATCCACGCTACAAAAAGCGTGTGCGTTCTCTGACATGGAGTCTACGCAAATATCCCAAAGTGGTTCGTAAAAAGACCAAAGACACTGACAAACAGACACTCCGCGTTCGCGAGAATCCCATAAGAGAGACCGATTTTAGACACAACCGCTTGAAGGTGCCGAAGTTCGGCGAGGTCAAGATATATATGCCCCGCCCGCTTGTCGGTGATCCAAAAGAAGTGACACTCGTGAAAAAAGCCAGCGGTTGGTATGCCCATATCTCTTGTGAGATAGAGGACACGCCGAAAGTTGAACCGACAGACGCAATCGGAGTTGATATGGGGACAACCCACTACCTGACGACTTCTGACGGTGAAAAGATTGAGAACCCTCGCTGGTATCGTAAGGCAGAGGGGTTATTACACAAACACCAGCAAACACAATCGCGGAGAAAGAAAGGGAGCAAGCGTTGGCAAAAAGCCGTGCATGCGAGTGCCTTACACCAAGAACGGACAACCAACAAACGCAAAGACTTTATAGGTAAACTCGTCTACAAAACTCTATCACCATTACAAAAACAATGTATTAGTGGCAGAGGATTTACGCGTATCTAACATGGTAAAGAACAAACACTTCAGTAAGAGTATCAGCGACGCGTCTTGGGGAACATTCTTTGAGTGGTGTGCGAGTATAGCCGAAAGAGACGGCTTGCACTTCCACCAAGTAGACCCTAAGAATACCTCGCAAAACTGCTCCAGCTGCGGTCAGAAATCGCCAAAGAAACTATCACTGGCGGTTAGAACTTTTAACTGCTGTTATTGCGGTCTCACACTTGACCGAGACCACAACGCTGCACGCAATATACTTTATAGGGCAGCTGCTGCCCTTCGTGGAGAGCGGTGGGTTACCCTCCTCTGTGAAACGAGAAACACGAACGAAGCACGAGACGCAGGTTTGCAGGGAGCAACACAGCTAACGTTGTTTGACGCTCTTAACAAGCCCAAGTCTTTAGGCTTGGGTAGTTGACAGCCTGCTAAGGAGAAAAAACGTGAAATTGAGACTTGCACAATACGGTATTTCCCACGACCACGCTTCGGGGAAAGCCAGCGTGATGAAGGAAAGTGAAGATATTGACTTCGCCGGTGTCTTTGAGCCATCACCAGAAGTCCGAGAGACCCTTGGTCAAAGCCCGGTCTACGAAGGCGTTCACTGGTTTACATCGAAAGAAGAAATACTCGAGGACGAAACAATCGTTGGGGTTGCGGCGCAGGGGCGTGTGTCGCAGAACCTCACGTTTGCACGGGAGATTCTTGAACACGGCAAGCATGTTTGGTTTGATAAACCTGCGGGTGATAACCTCGATGCGTTTCGAGAGGTTTTGGACATTGCCCGAGACAGAAAACTGCTTGTTCAACTCGGTTATATGTTCCGATACAATGCTGGCTTTCAGTTTATCCTTGATTGGGCGAACTCCGGCAAACTCGGTGATATTTTTTCCGTTCGGGCACGCATCTCGTCAGGACCTTCAAGCGACGCACATTGGCAACGTTGGGATTCACTCGGCGAACACTCCGGCGGCATCATGTTTATCCTCGCCTGTCATCTCACCGATATTATCGTGGCATTGCTGGGACGACCCACACGGGTGACACCCTTTTCGAGGCACGATGGACATGACGTGCCGTGGTATCGGAACAATACAGCGGCTGTCCTTGAATATCCCAGAGCAATGGCGATTCTTGAGTCAACGGCACTGGAAGTCGAGTCGGGCAAATCAAGACGCTTGGAAGTCTACGGAACACGCGGAAGCGCGATTCTCGAGCCGCTTGAACCGCCAGAGTTGCGGTTGTGTCTTGATGAGGAGCGGGACGGGTACGCGAAAGGTTGGCAGAGAGTACCTGTGGAACGGCGACCGCGTTACGTCGAAAGCCTTCGAGCCTTTGTCGCCGATATTCGGGGTGAGAAACCCCCTGACCGTTCACTTGATCATGAGTTCACAGTTCAGGAAACGGTATTGCGGGCGGCAGGACTACGATAACCTAAACTGCCATCTGTTGAGGAGTGTCCTCCTTGACGCGACAAACTCCAAAAATTGAGGCAGCATCGTGTCAAGGAGGTTCCTCTCCGAAAAGAGATACACAATTATCTGAAAACCGCGCGGTTATGCGAATCGAACGCCTAACTTTACATTCTCACCCGGGTGCGTCGCAATCTTCGGATACTCGTCCAACAGATCGTCAAAATCAACAACAGGATGGATAATCGGTTCAGATTTTAGACTACCATCGCAAAGTAGCCGCCAGCTGATTTCAAAGAGTCTGCCTTCATTCCAATTTGGATATTCGGGATTCGGTTCACTACAAGCGCGTGAAAAGATAATAGTCGGTCGATTGAAATGCGCTTCAGCACCGAGATCTAACCCTGTTGGGTAGATGCCGGGCCATGCCCCAGCGACAACAGTCCCTAAATAAGCCACGCCACGGATAGCCGCTTGCAGTGCCGTATGATGACCGCTATATTCAATACAAACATCGGCACCACGCTTGTTGGTAGCTTTTTTAATTTCCAAACCAGCATCAACTGTCGCGGAGTCAAGGACAATATCGGCACCACATTCGAGGGCAACATTGCGGCGTAACTCGAGTGGATCGACACCAATTACAGGGTAGGCACCCGCCAATTTAGCAAGCTGCAGTGCCACCAATCCAATTCCACCAAGCCCAAAGACTGCCACGGCATCACCAATGCGAATATGACCGTCGCGCACCGCGCCGAGGGCAAAATCTGTTGGATCCAGACAGACGGCTGCCTGCCAAGGAACGCCATCGGGAAGTTTCCGGACACCTGCAGCACCCCAAACATTTTCCTCGCGAAAGGAGCTGTGCCGAAAAACCCGATCTCCGACCTCAAAGTCGGTAACGTCCGCGCCAATCTCAGTTACCGTGCCAACACACATGTTCCCAAGTCCTGAAGGATAATGCACCATTCCGGAGGTGTTCGCTTGAAAGACCTTATATTCCGAATCGTAGCCACCGCGTGGGCTTGCATAACCTTTATATGATGCCATCTCTGAACCGTGTTTGGCTGCGCCAAACTGGCTCTTGACTCGAATTTCATTCGCTTGCAAGGGTGGGCTTTCATATTCTCGGAAAGCGACCTGTTCTTGTGCGGGAGCAATGAGTTCTCTTAACATACTGGCTATTTTCCTTCCTGTGTTATTTGCGACTCGGTGTCACATGAACGCACAGTAATTTTCTGCTCGTTCGTTAATCGTAGATTTTACTATGATCCGGCAATAACGGGTCTATTAAGGCACTCTTAAATAACGGGCTGTGTTCTCAAAAGCAGTTGCGAATTAATCGGAAACCTGCCCGTAGCGTAGTGGAAGGCAGCCCAGGTGCTCATAAATTAAAAAATTTCAGTCGGCGATTGCTTGGTAACTGAGGATACGAATTTTCTCTCCGAGATCCAAGTCGCCGCTGGGATGCAATTGGCACATGAAAATGCCGATCATCTGTTCTTGAGGGTCAATGAAGAAACTTGTAAAGAAGAAACCGCTCCAGCCAACCTCCCAACTGACCCAACTTCATTAAGGTCTGATTCGTCTCGGACAACGCTAAAGCCTAAACCGAATCCGAAGTCGACATCCATATTAGCGAGTTGATTCAAAGTCATCAACGCAACGGTTTTTCGGCTTAATAATCGGACACCGTCAAGTTTTCCACCGTTGAGCATCATTTGCGCAAAGCGGACGTAATCAGGGGCAGTAGATACCAACCCACCCCCGCCAGAGAAATAAGTGCGCGGACCCTTATACGGATAGTCAGTTGAGTAGGTTAACGAACCCTCTACTGTCGGTTCTGGAGACTTTCGCGTTATGGGACCATCTTTGGTTCGCTCATACACCTGTCGCAAGCCGTTCGCGTTTCGCTTCAGGGATAAAAAAATGTGTGTCGTTCATACCGATCGGTTTGAAGATACGCTCGGAGAAAAACTCATTGAGCGACATCCCCGACACGACTTCAACGAGGTAACCGAGCAAATCTATTGACAATCCGTATTCAAATTCGGCACCCGGCTGATGCAACAACGGAAGAGTCGCCAACACTTTCATCTTCTTATCGAGGGTGCTCTCATCTTGAAGAAGCCCGTGGGTGATATCCGCAGCAGCGTATTGCGGACCTAAGCGTTCATTCCACTGATACGTTAGACCGGAGGTATGGGTAAGCAGATTCCAAATTGTAATTTGCCGTGTTGCCGGTACAGGTTGAGCCGAATCTTCGGCAGATTCTGGTGGCATCACGTGCATCTCTTTGAAAGCTGGAATGTACTTTGAGACCGGTTCGTTCAACCGAAAATGTCCCTCTTCATAGAGCATCATCACAGCGACGCTCGTGATCGGCTTGGTCATTGACGCAATACGGAAAATGGTGTCGGGTGTCATCGGCTTTCCTGCTTCGACATCCATCATACCGTAAACGCCCAGATGTGCGATCTTTCCGTGCCGAGCCAGCAATGTAACGCCGCCAGCGATTTTCTGCTGAGCGACATGTGTTTCCATTACTTTATCAATCCTTGAGATCCTTTCGGTGGAAAGCCCAACTGCTTCAGGCTCCACCGTAGGGAGATCATGACTGAAGGCAGATACTGTCAGAACCAACAAGAACAAGATGTGTACTAAAATTCTGTCCGCTTTTTTCATATTAATCACTCGGCAACCTCAGCGTTTCTGGAGGATAGTTTCTTCTTTTAGATTCCAGTACTTCCGTATCTAACCATCTGTCCGTCAGTCAATTGGGGCAATGGACGACAAAGACTAACGGCATACGGAGCGTGCCTACTACTCTTAAGGTTGACGGCACGCGGAGCGTGTCTACTACTTTTAAGATTGACGGCACGCGGAGCGTGTCTACTACTTTTAAGATTGACACTTTTAAGGTTGACGGCACACGGAGCGTGCCTACTACCCTTAAGCCAAAATTTCTCGGACGACATGTCCGTGGACATCGGTGAGGCGGAAGTCTCGTCCTTGGAAACGGTAGACCAGTTTTTCGTGGTTAATCCCGAAGAGGTGTAACATCGTGGCGTGAAAGTCGTGGACATGCACGATATTTTCAACGGCATTATACCCCAATTCATCGGTGTTACCGTAACTAATACCACCTTTGACTCCACCGCCAGCCATCCACATTGAGAATCCCTTGATGTGGTGGTCGCGTCCGGTGCCTTGTGCCATCGGTGTTCGACCAAATTCGCCGCCCCAAATCACTAAGGTATCATCTAACATACCGCGCTGCTTCAAATCATTGACGAGCGCAGCTGTTGCCTTATCAACATAGCCTGCAGTCGTTTTGATGGCGTTCTCAATGCCGCCGTGATGATCCCAACCGCGATGGTAGAGTTGGATAAACCGAACACCGGGTTCGGCTAACCGATCGTGCGAGGAGACAGTTTGACGCGTAGGACCCGTCGCCGGGTGTTGCGCCGTACATATCAAGAAACGCTGCGGCTCTTTGGAGATGTCAGTCAGTTCTGGGACACTCGTCTGCATTCGGAACGCCATCTCGTACTGACTAACCCGCGTCGCGATTGCTGGATCATCCACGGTCTCATTGAACATACCGTTCAAGGTTTGCACGGCATCTACAACGTCCCGTTGCTGTTCAGCTATTGACACCGCCAGGGTTGGTGACGTAGTGAACGGGATCGCCGGTCGAATGGAACGGGACTCCTTGAAACTGACCTGGGAGAAACCCACTATGCCATTGCCGTGTTGCAATCGGTTGGTCCTGGCCACCGCCAGAGGAGGTGAGGACGACGTAACCCGGTAGATTTTCATTCTCACTACCAAGCCCGTAGAGCAGCCACGACCCCATGCTCGGTCTGCCAGCGATTGCAGTGCCAGTGTTCATGAAAGTATGTGCGCGGATCGTGATTAATCTGCTCGGTTTGCAGGGAGCGCACAATACAAATATCATCGGCGAGGCTTCCGATGTGCGGGAACGCTGTACTTATCTCCTGACCTGATTGTCCCCACTTTTTGAATTCATGTGTGGGACCGAGGCATTAAGCGAATCCGCTTGTCCCTGGAGTTGAGCAATCGGTTGTCCTTTGGTGAAAGACCTCGGCATCGGTTGCCCATGGAGTTCTGCCAGTTTCGGTTTGTGGTCCAAAGTCTCTAAGTGCGAAGGACCACCCGCCATGCAGAGATGAATAATGCGTTTCGCTTTCGGCGGTACATGTGACTCGGTAACAATCCCTTGCCACCGCTCAGTCTCCGGTGCGGCGTTGATAATTGATGGAGACAGCAAAGACGCAAGGGCGAGTGAGCCGACACTCCGCACTGTTTTCCCCAGAAATGTGCGCCTTGTAAGACGAAGATTCGTTTCTTCATGAATATCTATAGCCATACCTAATACCTCTTGTTTGGCGTTTTGTAATTTCTCAATAGATGCGCTTGCAAGCGTGGGCGCACCCAAAAAGTCCCTTAATTTGATGGAGTTTAGGTCTTCGACTGAACAGCCAACATGTCATTGACAGCATGAGTGAAAGTCTCTGTCGCCCATTGGTCAAGATCTTTCCCACTGGCTTCAGCAGCCCTTGCAATGGCTACGTGTACATTGCAAGGAATCTGTAACCTCAGATTTCCGGAATACGGTTTCTGTGCTGGTTTATTCAGTTTCTCGCACGTTTCCAGATAATCCTCCACGGCTTCTTCAAAAGCTTCCTGAAGTTCAGGAACAGTGTTACTGTGAAACCCGACGATGTCTGTGATTCCTGCAATATGGCCGACAAGACATCTATCTTCTTCGCTGTACTCAATATGCGCGCTATAACCTTTGTATTTCATGGAATTATTCCTGCCTCCTCCAGATTCCACGCGACGGACTCCAAACCGTCCAACCTTAATATCGCATAATCGTCTCATGCAAATTCAATATTACCCGTGCCACAGAAGTCCACGCCGCCAATTCGTCAGGTTTAAAGTCTTCCGTTACAGGGGTTTCACCTGTTGCTACCAACGCGTTAGCAGCATCAAGGTCGGCAGTGTACTCAGCCTGGTGCTTCTCATAGAGAGAAGTCATAATTTCTAATTCCTTTGGCTGTGGCATCCGAGACAAGGTCCATTGGTATGCCCAGTTGATACGCTCGGCGACGGATTCACCACCCTCTTGGATAATCCGCGATGCAAAGACGCGTGCCGCCTCAACGTAGCTTGGGTCGTTGAGTAGCGTCAAAGCTTGCATTGGGGTATTAGAGGTTGCACGCTCAGCGGTACATTCCTGACGACTCGGCGCATCGAACGCCATCATACTCGGATGCAAGAAGGTGCGCTGCCAATGTATATAAAGCCCGCGGCGATATTGATTCTCCCCTGCATCGTGCATATAAACCCGCTTCGGGAAGTTCAAGTTCGAGTAGTAACCCGCCGGCTGGTAAGGTCTCACACTCGGACCGCCGATTTTGGGGACAAGCAGTCCACTCAACAACAATGCGTTATCGCGGACCACCTCTGCATCGAGCCTCCAGCGTGATTGGCGTGCTAACAAACGATTGTAGGCATCCTTCTCCTCCAATACCTCCGTCGATTTCGAGGATTGACGATAAGTGTTTGAAGTGACGAGGAGTTTTACGATATGTTTGACGTTCCAACCGCTCTCCACAAATTCGACAGCGAGCCAGTCAAGTATTTCAGGATGTACCGGCGATTCGCCTTGTGCGCCAAGGTCATCCAAGATGCCGGATAACCCCGTTCCGAAGTAGAGTGCCCAAAGTCGATTTACAAACGTGCGGGCAGTCAGTGGATTTTCCTTTGACACTACCCACTGTGCAAGCTCTAATCGGGTCGGTCGGCGGTTCTTGATACCGAGATCGCCAAGGAAAGCCGGTATCATCGGTTCGACGATCTCACCCGAATCGTCCATCCAGTTGCCCCTTGGTAGCACGCGTGTCGTTCGGGGTTGCGTAGATTCAGTGGTAAGTGAGTAAGGAATCTGTGCTTCGATTTCACCTTTCTGCTTCTGTAAATTCGCAATCTGATTCCGGATACCGTCAAGCGCAGGTGTGATGCGGCGATACTCCGCTGCAATCTGCTCGCGCTGATTCGTTGTTCTGACAGAGGGATCTACCTGAATTGCTGCAATGACCTGTTCCGTATGGGTGTGTTTTACCGCCGAGCCGCGAGTCGTTGCGATGCCAGCCACGTCCCAATAAGCGGTGCCACCAAACTGTGCGAAAGCCATCCCATTCAGGACACTTCCCGGTTCCAAACCAACATCCGCTGGATCCACCTCAAGACGAACCCATTCGCCGACTGCTGGCAGAAGTCCCATCGGTTTGTGAGCAGGTGTGTCGTTTCCAATCCCACCGAAGTCAATCTTGTCCTCACCCCAAAATGCGCGATGATCCCAATTTCCGTCGTTCCATTGGAGCATAACCGTCTCTGGAGGTGATTCGGGGTCAATCCAGATATATGCAAACAACCGATCGTCCTCAGCCAGAGTGAACTTTCGATTGGCACCTCGGAAAGCGTGCTGGACTGTTTGTTCAGCTGCCGCTGTTTGGCGACGTGATAAAAGTTTACTGAAAACAGGTGCTTCATTTTTCCCGACGAATTCCCACGTGCCTTCAGTGCTACCACCGTTTGCTTGGGCATCGTCCACCCACGCGAAATCGGTAGGTTCCATTGACGCAAGCAGTGAACGAATTTCGTTCTCCCACTCCGCCTGTTTGGCTTCTAACCCGGGCGATGACGCTTTGAATACCTTCTGCAATTTCGTTAATTCGTCGTCAATATCTCGGAGTGCCGATTCCTGCATCGGTGTGGGTAGCATCACGACAGGTTCCCATTTGCTGTTACCGCCGTACACGCCAGGTCCTTTGACATCCGCGAAAAATGCGGCGAAACTATAAAAATCTTTCGCGGTATACGGATCAAACTTGTGGTCGTGACATTGCGCACAGCCGAGTGTTGCACCCAGCCAGACGGATGCAGTCGTCCGCACCCGGTCTGCGGCATAGATCGAGAGATATTCCTTCGCTTGTGCCCCACCTTCCGCAGTTGTTTGATTCAGACGGTTATAACCGGCAGCAACCTTCTGTGCCGGCGTTGGGTTCGGCAGGAGATCACCTGCGAGGTTTTCGACCGTGAATTGATCAAACGGCATGTTGTCATTAAATGCTTGGATTACATAATCCCGATAGGGCCAGACACTCACGTTTTCGTCAGAGTGGTAACCACTGGTATCCGCATAGCGCACCAAATCGAGCCAGTACATTGCCATCCGCTCGCCGTACTGCGGTTCAGACAGAAACGTATTGACGAGGGATTCATAGGCATCAGGCGTTTCATCTCTCAAAAAATGTTCGACCTCCGTAGGTGTGGGCAACAACCCAGTGAGATCGAAACTCAAGCGACGGATAAGCGTTCGTTTATCCGCTTCTGCTGACGGAGTGAGACCCTCTGCCGCTAATCTTCCAAGTATAAACGCGTCAATAGGATTACGAACCCATGCAGTGTCTCCAACAGTAGGCGGCTCGACCCGTTTGGGGAGATTGTAAACCCAGTGTTCCTCCCATTCGGCACCTTCAGCAATCCACTGGATGAGCGTATCGATCTGTTCCTGTGTCGGCTGCCGATTGGAGATCTGCGGTGGCATCCGTTGGTCAATATTCTCGTGCGTTATGCGTAGGACTAATTCACTGTTTTCCGGCTCCCCCGGGACGATGATTGGATAACCACTTGGTGCAGAGAATGCACCTTCTTTGGTGTCAAGCCGCAGGTTGGCTTGCCGGACCGCTGGATCGGGACCGTGGCATGCATAGCATTTATCCGACAGGATCGGTCGGATATCACGGTCGAATTGAAGTTTCTCTGCATAGGCAGGTTGTAGTACAATAGCGAGTACTAACAAGAGTAATACAAAACTCACACAACGCGTGTGAACCCATCTTGAAGGGTTTAAACATGATAGCTGTATCTGGGACATTATAGGGTATCTCCTCCATTTCTTCTGTACGGGCGATGCTACAATGATCGTCCGTTGCCAACTCTGTACATTGAGATCAATCTTACCATCCTTAAAATTGCTCAATTGCTCAATAGTATATCATTAGAGTGAAATATGTGCAAGCAAATCCCGCGATATGCAAGAGCGTTTCGTTCTCTACCCTTCACTTCTGGAAGGGTAATATGTTTATAGAAATGGTGCTTTTTACAAGTGAAACTTCACTGTGGTACTGGGGCAGCAATGTGTCTAAAGATACAGAAAACTGAAAACTGAACGACACTGATACTGCGAAAATTTCAGTGGTTTTTCATTATACTCCAGAGTATGATACTTTGGAGTATAATAATGTAGAATAGATGGAGAAATGGAAATGGCTAAAATTATCACAGGACATCGCGTTGGGCAAAATGGCGCAATCCGTGTTGGATGTTCAGCTGTTATTTTCGATCAGCAGCGTCAAAAGATTCTATTAACGAGACGCGAAGATAACAATCAATGGTGTTTACCAAGTGGTGGGATGGAACCCGGGGAAAGTGCAAGTGAGGCATGTATACGAGAGGTTGAAGAAGAAACAGGTTTGCAAGTTGCAATAAAACGCTTAATCGGCGTTTACACAACCCCGCACGAACTAATCGTGTATCAAGATGGAAACAAAATCCAGTTGGTGGCTCTATGCTTTGAAGCAGAAATTGTGGGTGGCGAACTCCGGCTTAGTTGCGAAACAACCGAATACGGATACTTTTCCTATCAAGAAATACAAGAATTGGATTTGCTTTTGAACCACATGCAACGTATCAAAGATGCATATAGTGGAGAAATGACGACTTTGATCAGATAACAGATCTTTTAGATAGAAGCATCTAAATTTGTGGAATACAACTTTAACTCGACAACATAATCGGGCGGTGTGGGTCAATAAACCTGTTATTCTCATCCTTCCGGCGCGGGGGCGGTAGTGCGTCGGCTTTTGCGCGCAGTTTTGAGAGTCCGTCAGCGTAAGCTGGCGCGTCAATCAAGTTGTTTCGTTCATCTGGATCTTCGGCGAGATCGAAAAGTTGTTCGGGCCACCCTTTATCGTTGTCGAATCTGAAATACTTCAAGCTGCCCTCTTTGACCATCACAGACGGTCCGTTTTGAACACGCCAAAGTTCACTATAAACAGTATCATGCCAGTCGGGCACATTTCCATCAATCAGCGGCAGGAACGAACGTCCATCAAGTTCATCCGGAGCGGGAATGTCTACTAACTCACACACAGTCGGAAACAGATCGACCAACGAGACATTCTGCTCAATGATTCTCGGTTCTCGTCCAAACCGTTTCGGATACCAGATAGAAAGCGGCACCCGTGCCGAAGCCTCAAAGTAGCTCTGTTTCTCCCACAGCCCTTTCGTGCCAAGCATCTCGCCATGGTCAGAGAGGAAAACAATGATAAAATCGTCTAAGACGTTCAAATGTTCCAGTTTCTCAATAACTCGGTTGAACTGCGCATCCATCCACTCTATCATCCCGTAGTACGCCGCGGTTGCCCGGTGTGCCTGACGGTAGGTAACATCTTGACCGACTCGAACCCTGAAAAAATCGTCGAATCCAAACTGCTCGTTCGGCTCTTCGACAATCGGCTCCACCCGCTGCATGTAATAAGTAAACAGATCGAGTGGACACTGATACGGATAGTGTGGTGCGATGAGGCTTACTGCCATACAGAGTGGATTGAACTTGGGACGATCGTAAGAGGCGTTGACGAAATATTCCTCAAGGAATAGTAGCGCACCGTCCACATTGTATTGGTCATTGAGCATCCATTGTCCTAAACCGGGTTGTGCGTCGCGGACTTCCTGAATCACTTTGTTCTGCTTTGGACCAGTACCGGGTTCCGATTCAACTCGCGCGTAATGCTCATCCTTGACAGTCGGATATGGATAACCGTTGTTACCGATGATATCGCGTCCGATTCGTTCCCGCCAACCGTGCATCACATCAGTCCCGACAAAGTGCATTTTGCCTGCACAACAGGTATAGTACCCGTAATTTCCCAACTGTCCCCGGAATCGTTCGGACCTCTGTCGGCATCGGATCGCCAAAGTTGAGACTTCCGCAGTTACGGGGATAGAGTCCTGAAAGAAAACTTGGCGAGCAGGGACACAGATGGGTGAAGGGGTATAAGCGTTGCGGAAGTAGATACCCTCATCCATAAACCGAGAGAGTGTCGGCGTGCGGATAGCCGTGTCCCCTTCGATTGGCAACACATCGGGACGGTGTTCGTCGTTGATGAGGAATAGAATGTGCGGTTTATCTTGTGGCATGGTTGCTTTGGGTTGTGGTCCGTGGAGCGTGTCTGCTACTTTGGTGGACAGCAGCCACACCCGCCCGGCGCGTGCTTACTACTTTAATAAAGGGACATCAAGCCTTCTGCTCCGGGAATCAGTCTTTTGCTCAAATTCGGGCGTAATCCATCGGGCACCGGACGGTTTACCGGGGTTACGATAGGCATAAACCACCGTCCAACGGGTATCGCTATCCGGTTTTCTTGCACTCACTGCGTGTGCAGCATGCGTCCACATCAACGCGACTGTCCCTGGTGGTGCAGATAATGCCTCAATCTCTAATGGTTGACCTGTCTCTGGGTGGGTTTTCCCTGCCAACCACCCTTCTTGTAGTGCCTCATCCGTCCGACCCTGGATCTTGACATTCCGATAGAGGTGGCTTCCCGGAACTGCCTTCAAACCACCATCGTCTGGTTCAAATCCGTTGACATAGAAGAAAATACGGACGAAGCCTAAGCGCGGGTCGTCATCGGAGTATCCGTGGCTGTGCCATCCAATACCACCATTGCCGCCGGGTCGATTGAGACTGACACAGTGATCGTATCGGATATTTTCACCCAAAACTTTCCGTGCAAGTTCAAGCATCTGCGGATGTGCGATCAGACTTTCGAGATAACTGTCATATTCTGCAGAAAATCGGTTCGGCTCATGCCCTTCTTTCGGTGTGTGCGAGAGTTCATGAATATGCGAGAGCGAATCCGTCAATTTTTCCTGCGCATCTGGTGTGAGCAAGCCGGGGAAGACGAAATGCCCATCACTATCCAACGTTTTTCGTTCCTGTTCACCAAACGTGTAGGCATGAAATAGTGAATCTCGCCTGCCAAGGCAGGCTTTCAGGGGGTTTTGTGACATAAAAAATCCTCCCGTTTAGCGATACCTTCGACAAGACCGAGGGTGCCCAGTATTGAGTCACACTCAGTCTTGTTACCATCAATATGGAGATTGATTTCAAAAAGCCGCCTGCCGCTAAACAAGTGCTCCCCTGCTCGGTTGTTGCCCGGGGTTGTCCACCTGCCCATCTGGGCGCGGGCAAGGTGCAAGTTTGCCCGCAAACATCGGAAAATCGCCAACCAACGCAATCTTTAGGTTTGGGAGTAGGTCAATCGGCTTTAATGGCAGCCCAGATCGTTGCGAGCTTATCTGAAGGTTCAATAGCAGCAGCTGTTTTTAATCCGTCAGTCACGAGGGTTTCAATATCATCATTGTCCAACGCCACATTGAAGATGGCAACGTCGTCAATTATTCCAGCGAAAAACTCACCCCACTGACCATGTTGTCCAGTGGCTAAATAGACACCTATTAAAACGGGTTTGTCGGTTAACGGGTTCCTTCCTAAGTTTGGCGTAGTTATACCATCGCCAATCTGATCAGCGTCCATGTATACTCCAAACTCTTCACCATCCCAGGTAACGGCAACATGATGCCAATCTGTATCTGGATCCCAAGGTGCGTCTATAAAGTGAAGCGTGCCCCCTGGATCATGCGTGTGATGTCGGATTACACCCCCATCCCACCAAAACCCAGGAGCCCAATCATCTTTGGTCACAACAGCCATGCCACCAGCGGGAGGCTTCTCTAATTTAAACCAAAGGGCAATCGTGTGTTCACCTCCAACATTTAAAGAATCATCGTGAGCAATTTCCACATAAGCATCCGAGCCGTCAAGACTCAAACCCTTGCCAAACTTGCCATCAACCCATTTTGCACCACCCTCAATCGTGCCGTTATTGTCCGTCCCAGAGGAATCTTCGGCTTCGTCACCACGACCCTCATCAAAGAGCCACATTCCGACGCAAGTTTTAAAGTCAATTTCAGCAGAGCTGATACCTACAAACATCACGCTAATAACCATTAAACTGACACATAATGGTTTTAAACTTGTAACTGTGGTTTTCATCTTTTATTCTCTCCTTCATCATTACTCAAAGCGAAAGTCAGCGAATTATCCACTGGCTATTACTCAAAAATGAGTCTCGCCCGATAGGTATTGGTCCCTGAGGCAGCAAGAATAATCTGGCTTTCCTCTGTATAGTTTGGCATAGAACGTCTCCTGTAGCTTAGGTATCCTTTCCAGATTGTTCTGGTGGCTTGTAATATGAAACGTATTTTACGCCCTGCCGTTTGCGTTTTTCCTGTCGCGCTCTCAAATACGCGGAGAGTTCTTCCATAGAATTGAATTTGGCATTGAAGCTATTCGATACATTCTCAGGAGGGTCAGTGTAGTTTTCAAGGTTCTCTTTCATCAAGAGCTATGTCTGAAACGACAAACTCAAATCTCGCATAATCCTCCCATACCTGCCGAGTTGCCTGTTGCCAAGACGCTACAGTTGAATCAGGGCTAGGCCACGCCACCAAATAACTCACAACCGTCGTCTCAATATAAACTTTCGGTCTCGGTGCTGTATAGTATACCATGAGATACATCCAATAATACGTTTTTGGAATCGGCTATCTCAGTTCGGGTCCCGGATTCCGATTCCATTTCAAGGGTTCAACGTCACTTTATGGTCCGGCGCAAGCTCGGCAATTCGTGCCCAATCTGCATCTGACCATGCGAAACTTTGCCGGAGTCTCCCAATATGTCCTTGCATTCCTGTAGGTAACAGCGCAAAAAACGGATGATACCAGAGTGTAATCACAGTCCGGCGTTCATCTGATTGATTGCCGTGTGAGGCGTGTAACAGCCGAGAATCGCCGATAACCAAGTCTCCCGCTTTCACCGGTATGTCAACTTCACCCGAAAAGTGTTGATAGGCGGGATGGTTAGCATCATCGACGCGTTGTAGTGATTCGCCGTGAGCACCGGGGAGTATGTCATGCAGCGGATGTCGATTCAGATGCGAACCTTTAATAACTCGGAGACACCCGTTGGACGGTGTTGTGTCAACCAAATAATACATGAGGAACAGTTGCTGAGGTAAGGCTGTGTAGCTACAAGGGTCGTTCCAACCCCACCAATCTTGATGCCAAAATAAGGGTGGACTCTGGGGCGGTTTGCTGATGACATATCCCGACGACCATTTCGGTCTCAAGAAACCCAAAGCATCCATAGCCTGAAGTGTCCGTGGATAAGCGACCAACTCCGCGAAGAGTGAATGCACATACACACTGATCATACTGCCAGATGAGCGATGAGAGGCACGTTCATCTTCCGTTTGTGCGTCAAGCAGTTCGCCTGTCACTGTCCGAAGCCGGGTGAGCATCTCTTCCTTCAAGACATCCTCCACAACACAGTAACCATCGACAATTAATTGATCATATTTTTCTTTCGGTTTTTCGATTTTCATAACTACAACCTTCCGTTTTTCGACTTTTATAACTTGACCTTCAAGACGCTAACGAGAAGGTCTCCCATGTTTGAACCCGTAGAGAAAGATATGCATCCACGATCTTGCATAATGTTGCTATCATTTTTTAGCCACTACAGAAAATCCATCATCTTCTGGAAGGAAATCTTCTACCTTACGTTTCTTGTAGAAATGGAAATCCATAAATCCTGCTTCCACAAGACAGTTCTTGAGCTCGTCCGGAGAGAGACACTTAACAAAATAGTCGCACCTATAATGTTTCTGCATTTCTAAATCTATTTTAAGCCAGCTGCATCTTGATCCATCATCACTTTTGTCATATTCTTGACTTTGCAGGACAAACACGTTTTTCTTAATTTCACTCCAAGTAGCCTGTGGGAATCGCTGCTTTTTTATTGATTGATTTGCATGAGCAAAATAGAGCCTGCCATTAGGCGTGAGTGCTTTATGGATTCGGTTTAAGAGCGACACCAATCCCTCTTTGGAACGATAAAAAAATGAGCCCTCGAAGAAAATAACAGAAAACTTCTCTTCAAAACGCATTTCATTATAGTCGCCCAGAATAAATTCGATTTCTAAATTTTCGCGTTGTGTGATGTTTTGAGCCTCAGCAAGGAAGTTTGGCGACAGGTCCATCCCTACAACGTGATAGCCGTGCCGAGCGAATTCACGCGAATAGCTTCCAATTCCACAGCCTGCCTCTAATATCTTGTCATTTTTAGATAGCAGCACCTTTTCGTAGAAAGGAAAATGTTTTTCTGTAAATTCGATCGTCTCAAAATTGTGTCTCGCATGCTCAAGATACCAACTATCATATACCTCGTGCCCAAATCAGTTCTAAGAAACTCGCAAGAGAGATCGTTCATTTTTCCTCCTAAGGTGAAGAGTAGGATATTCCTTGCCCAGGTTCATTCGCTACTTTACTCATCAAACCACATTTACAAACAAATGTCAAGTCAAGGCACCCAAACCTAAAGGATTGGGCTTGTGCTTCGTAGACCGCAGCGTTTCCGAAGAAACGTCTTACGCAGTCTCCACAGGGGGACCCAAGCAGCCCCGAAGGATATTGATAGCCGCGTTTACGTCTCTATCGTGGTGGGACCCACATTCAGGACACGTCCACTGTCTATCTGAAAGCGAAAGATTTTCGTTGTGATACCCACAATCGCTACAAGGTTTTGATGTAGCCGTCCACTGTCCGACTTGAAAGAATTCACGATTATGTTTGAAACACTTGAACTTCAATATCTCAACGAACTGTCCGAAGGCGAGGTCAGAGACTTTCCGTCCCCAGAGGCGTTTCATACCCTCAAGGTTGAGCATCTCGGTCGCGATGCGGTCAAACCTTCGGCAAAGGTCGGTGGCAAGTTTCCAATGCCAGTCTCTGCGTTGGTTGGCAACTTTACGGTAAAGTCTGGCAAGTTCTCTGACGGCACGCCACCAATTGCCAGAACCTTTCTGCTTGCGACTCACAGCTTTATTGAGTGTTCGGAGTTCATTCAAGGACTGCTTCAAGGGTTGCGGATGCTGTATCTTCTCACCGGTATTGAGCGTCAGATAGGTATCCAGTCCGAAGTCTGCGCCTACACTTTCACCTGTAGCGGGCAAGACTTCTTTGGATGCGTTATCTGTAACAACGGACAGCCAATACGTCCCAACACGGTCGCGAAGAATTTGGATATAGCGGACGTTCCCGTTCCAATCGCGATGGTGGTGATACAAGATGTTGCGACGCTTGAACACAAACTTCTGTTTGTCAGGACACCATTCTTTGAAGGACAAGCGAATCGTGCCTTTCGGTATTATAGAAGGTTTTCCGTCTTTGTGTTCTTCAAAAACCTTATATCCTGTTTGGAACTTCGCAGAACGGTATTTCCCTCGCTTCTTGAACTTCGGGGGACCGACACGTCGACCGCGCCGCCCATTTTCAAGCCAATCAAAGAACCGTTGGTAGCCGATATGGATACGGACAATCACTTGGTCAAGTGTGTCGCGGGGGATCCACGCCCAGTGTTTATGAGTGCGTTGGAGCAACTTCGTCAAATGTGGTTGCAGCCGATACCGACCGGCGTACTTCCCATACATGCGATAGTATCGCTTCTCCAAACGCAGAAAGTGGTTGTGAACATCGCACAAGTCATCAAGCAAGTTGCCCAAGCGTTTGATTTGCGGGTGGTCGCGTATCTGATATTTATCAGTTCTCATGGTGCTACCAGTTACCAGTTTTTTAACCCTTACAAGTAGGTAGAGCAGACCGTAACCTTGCGATTACGCTTGTAAATCTGCCCTAACTGGTATAGAAATTATATCACATTTTGGACCGAAAGTCACGTTTAAAACAAACCTTTGGTCCTTTCCAAGAGGGCGGTTTTTCCTCCCAAGTCTAAAGACTTGGGTTTCCAAACCGTAAAATTGATGAACATAGGAAGGCGCGGTTAAAAAACCGCGCCTATAGGAAAAGGTTACTTATAGTTTGTATCAAATGACCCCATGAGTTATACTCATAGTATGAGTTACCCTAACAGGTAGATGTATTTGCATCACCGACACTCTCCTCATGGAGGTCTCTATGACACGCCAGATGGATACCGCCTATGGTATCAAACGCATCGAATCCAAGAATGCCAGAGCTGCTATTATTCAGAAGATTTCAGCAGACTTTAATCTCATGCCTATAGTGGCTGAAGCCTACTATAAACAGATTTCTACCTACTTTGCGCAACACGCCAATGTTCAACTGACATCGGGACAAATCTGTTACGAGGCTGTCGCCGCCGAGGAACCCGCAGGCAAACACATCGCTTTAGCGAAAAAAGTTTCCTGTCGCCTGAAACTCAATGACATCGACACCGATCTCGAAGTCTTAGCCGATTACGGCCTGGCAGGTCTCAGACGACATCGCATCCTCCGATTGACCCAAGAAGCTTATGATCAAGATGCCTTGCTGAGTTATGAAGATTTAGCCGTGTTATTAACCAGCAGTCCTGCCACGATGAAACGCGACATCCGAGCGTTGAAACAGGACGGATATTTCGTGATGACGCGCGGGGCGAAACACGACATGGGCCCAGGGCTGTCTCATAAGACGCAGATTCTGGAGTTGTATTTCAAAGCATACACCTTCACCGAGATTGAGCAAAAGACGAACCACTCCGAACGCGCCGTCTCCCGCTACTTGAGAGACTTCACACAGGTCGCGACGCTCTATCATCAAGACTTTCCCAAAGCACAGATACGCCTGATCACCCACCTCTCTGACCGGCTGATCCGCGAGTATCTCTCGCTGTATGAGGAATACCAACATACCGATCGCATGACCCAGCTGCTTCACCCAGAGTCCGTGGATGAAAAAAAGGGGGACCTCCGATGAGCAAACCTTTGACGCGCACACAAGTCAATGAGAAGAAGTTCAGACGCATCAACGATAAATCTCTACGACAGTTGCTGATCCATCGCTTTCTCAATGACTACGGGTATGACAAAGGCGAAGTCACTGCGACTGCTATTGTCGATGACATTCTCAAGACCGTTGAGGACTATTTCGTCATTACCCTCCCTTTGGAGAAACTCGCCACGGGCGACTCACTCCCAGAGGAGCGATACCTCAGCTATGGACACCTCGTTTGGATGGCTGTCCCGATTGATGAATATCCACAAAGAGGCAAATCCATCGTCAAAACCCGTATGAAACCCATCATCCTGACTTACCTCGCCGCAGAGGATATTGAATCCTTTCGCAACGGTTTTACCTCCCGGCAACTGCGGATCAATCGCTTGGTCCGCTGGTGTTATCAAGCTTATGACCAAGGCGCCTTATTGACACAACTCGACTTGGCGGTCTTGCTCAACGTCTGTGATCAGGTCGTCTGTGATTATGTCAACGAATGGCAAAAAACCACGGGAGAAATCTTACCCACTCGCGGCAATATCCATGACTTATCGGGTGCTATTACCCACAAGAAAGAGATCATAACCCTCTATCTTCAAGGGCATCTCACTCCCACTATTGCCGCCAAAACCAAGCACTCTAAGGAGGCAGTTGACCGATACATTCGTGATTATGAGTCCGTCAAAGTCGTGCGCACCGCTACCGCTGATATTGACAAAATCTCACACATTACACGACTTTCTAAACGCGTCATCTCTCAATATCTCGACCTGATCCCGCAGCAGCATCTCCAAGCTATCGATGAAAACCTCGCCAATGCAGCTGCAAACGATGAAACCACTGAACAAGGAGAAACTCAATGATACCTGACCTCCTGTTCTTGACGAACTGACTTCGCAAAACCGGGGCAGGGGTTGCGTAAAAATACGCTTGACCCCCGCTCGTAGTTTTGCTACACTTTAGAAACGTTGATCGCCAAACGCATCATTTCTCAATGAAGATGCCAGCGAACCCAACTCAACCCACTCATCGGCGATGACTGGGAAGCTAATAAACATCAGCATTCCAGCTATCCTATGGTCATTTGATACTATTTCAGAATAAGCATTTTCCGCGTGGCTGCGAACTCACCGGCTGTAAGTGTATAGAAATAGACACCACTCGCTACAGCCTCACCCACCTCATTTTTCCCATCCCAGTACGCCGCACGACTCCGGTTCTGATACATTCCGGCAGACTGGTGTTCCAATACCAATGTCCGAATCAATGTACCGTTTATCGAATAGATGTGTAATGTCACCGCTGCAGGTTCAGACAACTGATAGGGTATCCATGTCTCCGGGTTGAATGGGTTGGGATAATTCGCAAACAAAACAGTCTTTTTTGGAACCATCAACGCTAAAAGACGCTGGAGGTTGGCGATCCCCTGTTGGAAGGCGAGCGAACCATCATTCTCAGCGTGCGCCCGCGCTACCCATGCTTGAACCATCGCAAGATCTAACACACCCTCTTCCACAAGGAGCCAAGGCGCAGCGGCACCCGTTGATTCACCCAGATGTTGAGCAACGACGACGAGATCTAAGATATTAACAGTTCCATCGCCATTTACGTCAGCTCGCGAGTTGGCTGATACGGGACTCCCTAAATGTTGTGCTACCAGAACCAGATCCAAAATGTTTGCCTTTCCATCCTGATTAACATCCCATGTAGGAACTGTAGGTTCGTCTTCCACAATCTTTGACACGGTATATACAGCGTCGTTTTCAAACCCAAAAAATCCACTCCAACCACCCCAGAGTTCGTAAACAACAACTAACAAGATGTTCGTCCCCTGTTTGAGAGTGACGGGGAAGTCCTCTTGGTAATCAGTCGCGCCTCGATCAACAGGGTTGTCATGAACCAAAACACCATTGAGCCAGACCTTGACGGCATCATCGCTTCCGACGAACATCCTTGTATTCTGTTCATCTGGAGAATCTAAACTAATATAACCGTAAGCAACGTGGTATTCTATATTGCCTGTTCCCAGACCGGTAGCATTCATTACTTTATTGATGTTATCTTCATCTGTGGCAGAGAGTTCTCTAAGCGTCCATACCCTGTTTCCTACTTCATCCCCGGCGGTTACACCGCTGGTAGCAACTTGCTGCTCTGTAACGGAGTTATTACTAACCTCCGCCAGCCAATCTATTCCCGAAGCCGCTGCTTCTGATCCACCAATTTTCCCTGTCGGTGCTATCATCCACAGCCAAGGTCCCTCTATTTTCGGACCGGGGATAGAATCAGTCAGCTCATTTTCAACGAATGTCGGAGCAGGCGGAAGCCCTAACAGTTCCCGCTCGACTAATATGCGTCCTGTTTTCTTCTCGGCGCGAAACACAGCAAGATCATCGTCGTTCTCGTCTTTGAGCAGCCATATATCCCCTGCATTGGTCCCAAAAGAGCGAATGTCCTGACTTTGGCGTGCGCGGAAGGTCTCCGTTCCATCAGAATCCACATGATATAGTAGAACATCAATTCCGGTGAAGTTCACGAGGAGGATTTCCGTGTCGCCTCCTATGGTTCTTGGTCCATTCAGAATTGCAAGCTCACTTGGATCGTGTGGAGGTAAATTCACCCACTCGCCACCGCCATCGCTGTCTGGATTCTCCAATTGATAGTACAACTCAATCAAATCAGGAGGCCATTTAAACGTTGGAGAATTCTCTGGATTGAACCCTTGAAGGTGCGGTAGATGCGTCCGAGTCGCAGGCGGTGTGTATCGCCACCTCCTATCCCCGTAAACTTCAATGAGCAATGCAGCGAGGTCAGGATCATAATCTCTCAACTCCCTTCGCGTGTTAACATGGTTGTGTAGGGGACCGTGTTCTTCATTGACGTTAAACCAAGATTGCGTCCCTTCAGCCCAGTACTCATGATGATTTGTGGAAGCGTAAGTGCCTTGCCACAACCCCGCTTCTAACGCTGCCTCATACATTATCCTAAGTCGAACATCAAAACTTGGGTCAACTGTATTCAAACCTATATTGTGCAAGGTATGAGCAAACTCGTGAATTAGTACATTTTCAGTCCAATACGGATCACCCTGATAATTAAGCAGATTTTCTTCACCACAAGTTGTTGTTTGACCTCCTAAACCCCGGCTACGATGATCATTAAAAAATTTAGGACGTAAATGGCTATGTTCGGGTATCTGCGTCGTCAATTCGTTATGCGCCATCACGGAAAAACGCACTCCATCTTCCGCCATCGCCTGTAGTATATCTTGGCGATGTCCGATCATTTGATTGATGAGATATGCAGCTTCCTTTACAGCGTATGGATTCACCTTCGCTGATGCCAAGACAGGCAAACCGCCAACGTCAATCCACTGCTCGTAAAACGGATCTAATCCAAAAGTTTCGCGGACGGCAAGGGTAGGTGGTGTGGGTTCAGGAATGTTAATTTGTGCCTTTAAAGGCAGAATTGAGAGAAATAATAACCAAAGCGCCAGCACATAAGCAAATGCGGACGACAGTTTACAAGCTTTTGAAACTACAACATATTTTGAGTAAAACCAGAACAATTTTTTCCTCCTATATAGCGTTAAGAGTATTCTTAATAGTACGAAATATTATTGGATAACTTAAATAACTTAAAAGTCCCTATCAATGATTCAGAGGGCCATGTGCGTTAAAAGCGTTGCGCTGTTGCCGGCACTAACCACAAACTGAACGTTAGTTAAATTCCCAACACAGTAATGCTCTAGTGCTAACGTCCGAAAGTATCATTCGTAGGTGTTGCGATTTGATACAGCTGTACTGCCACCGGAAATTTAGAGCACTCTCTAATATAAGATTGTGCTACAATGACAATCCATTTGAAAGGAGAATTCCGATGGCGAAACGAAGAAAATTCACTTACCATTTGAATACATCTCTGGCGTTGAAACCGCTACAAGAGGCACTGTTCGAAAGCGGGGCTCCGGAGATCCATCATTCCGATCAAGGCGTGCAATATCTTTCAACCGCTTATCTCTCGACGCTCAAAGAACACGGTATTGAGATTTCATTAGCACGTCGCGGGCATCCTTGGGAGAACGGGTATGCGGAAAGGTTGATCCGAACCCTCAAGGAGGAAGAAGTTCACCTCAATGATTACGAGGATATTACCGAGGCTCGACAACGCATCGGGCAGTTTATCACACAGGTGTATCACCAAAAACGCCCACATTCGGCGTTAGGGTATCTGACACCTCTCGAATTTCAACGACAAACCTTATCTTAACTTTGCTAAATTTTGGTCCAAATTAAAGGTGGCACTTCAGATTTAAGAAGTATAACATTAAGATGAAAATCATTCAACCCGTAAAAAATAATTTGTTTTTATATATTTTTTTATGATCTATTATGACTACAGCGTTATATAAATCCACTTATTTTTCATTCTATACTTTCGCATAAGTGTTGAATTGTGGGTGGGAACGTAGTATAATTATAGAATCGGAGGTAATCGTATGGAAACTGAAGAAAGCCTTGGGGAAACTGAAGAAAAAAAGAGGTTTAGAGAGTTACTCTATTCGTCGCTATTACAACAATGCCAGGAGACTGAATATGCAACGCCCCTATTTGACATAGGCAAGCCCCGGGAACGATCAGTGTCGTGGTCTCCACAGTGAAATCGCTACTCAAGCACCGAAATATCGGGAAGTCTGTCGCATTATGTCTGCGCCCAGTTTGACGGACGCGGCGTAATCGCACGATTCAAAATAGACTACAAGGAAAGCCTTGAATCGCGTCAGTGGATCATGTATAATTTGCATAAACTTTATGTTCTTGCCGGACGGAGGTCCCAGATGCAGGTAACTTCAGAAAACATATTGGAAGCATTTAACCAACTCCCTGAAATAGAAAAACATGCGCTCGCCTCTGAAATCATAAAGCAGGTCGCTCAGCTGGATGTTCCGCCGTTGACGGATGAGGCACTCACAGAAATTGCTGACGCACTTTTTGTTGAACATGACAAAGCAGAGGCGGCGGATGCCGAAGCAAAATCGAGGTGAAGTCTGGCTCGTTGATCTCGGAATGGTAGCCAAAGTCAGACCTTGCCTCGTCCTCAGTACACCTGTCCTCGTTCGAGATCGCGCGCTTGTCACGGTTGTCACGCATACGACGAGCACACGTGGTTCAAGATTTGAAATCCCTATAAAAACGAGATTTCTGGATACAGGTGCTTTCGATGCGCAGAGTTTGGTCACAGTCTCAGAAGCGAAGTTCTTGAGAAAATTAGGAAATCTCCAGCCTGAGCAATTATCCATAGTCGAAGATGCGGTGCGGAAGTGGCTGAAACTTTAACAACTCAGAAATATATCCGCTCAAAGGAATGGACGGCGAAACGACAAAAAAATTAGAAGCATTTAATCATAGGTGTGAGTGTGAGGGAAGGTACTACAGAAAAGCGATCCAAATCCACCATTTACACTAAAGGGTAAGTTAAAAATCACGATTCTGAGGTGTGCAAGTAGTGTCTGTAGTTACCATAAGCAACTACAGACATTCAATACGTTAAATCGAGAAAGCACCGACAAAGACGTTGTTCTCTGTTCCGCTTTGCTGCCACGTCACCGGGAGGTGTGTGTCTTTATAGCGATAGACTTCAGATTTGCCAACAATGGCGTTCTGAATCGTTGTCAGCGGTTTGTACCAGACTTGATGTGGTTGTGTGCATCCGGCACACGGATAACGATTGGCAGATAGTTTAAGAACTTCGCCAACGGTTACATCGTATCTGGTCCCTTCTTTCGTGAATTCAATAGAAGCGGTTTGTGTCGCGACGACTCCGCCCAAGACATCAGCGTATTTCGTAGTAAGCATATCGCTAAGCGCGGCACGCTGTTCCGGTGTAGTGCTCGGATCCATATACAACACGCTCTTGCGAGTCTTGGTATCGATTGCCAAGTTGCTTTTCCCGCTGATGACGGCAACGACGGTTAGGTTTTCCAGCGAAACGTCGTTCCAACTTCCACTCTGAATATTCCAGACTGCGGTTGCCTCTCTGCCACCTTCCACATATTCGGCACCAAAGTGGCATGCCCCGACATAAACACTCGCGGAACGGGCTTCAATGTATTCGCCTTGCACGGTCGGTGATTCAGTCGCAAAAGCGAAACCCGCTATGAAGGTCAACGCGAGTATCGTCAAAACAAAGATATTTCTCATCTTGATTTCTCCCTTTTTTTGGGGAATTTACCTTACTAAACGCGATGGTAACACTATAGCCATTTAACCTTAACCGTATTATACCTTAAATAAATTAAAATAGCAACTTTTTTCTCAAATGTATTGAATTAGGTTTTGATGAGTGGTGAGTGCAACTCGACCTATTACGACGAACGTTAACCCTAAACTTAAAGGAATCATCCGACTATCCCCCTTAAATGGTTTTTAGAGCCTCTATTGTAACCATATAGAGCAATACACAAAAGTTTCTTGTAATCCGCGAAATCTGTGTAATCCGCGTCATCCGCGATTCAGACAATTAACACCCTACGCACACCATTTAAACACCTAATCTTCATAAAACCTTGCATATCTATTGATGACTGACTGCTGACAACTGAACGTCTCTGCTATTTTCCAGCGTTGGTCAGCAGGCGTTGGAGCGTTCCACCCAAAATCTCTGCTTTGTCTGCCTCTGGGATAAATGTACAATGCGTTCGGAACGCCTCAAGCGCGTGTTGATAGGTCATAAAGTTCCGAACAACCGGGTAGTCAGACCCCCAACAGAGACGACCGGGACCGAAGTGTTCGTAGAGTGCACGTACAATCCAGTGTGTATCTGATTGTGGATAATCCCATGAGACCTGTGAGACGTAAGCGAACCCCGACATCTTGATATGAATATTCGGCACATCTCCCGAGGCGAGTACCTGCTTGAGGTGCGGATACGGATGCTCTTCACCGGCTCGCGCACCCCCCATGTGATGGCAGAGAAATGGCACAGTGGGGAACTGCGCTGCAAGTTTTCGGAGTGCCGCGTGCTGATGGCTTCCCATGGCGATGCTGGCGATTAACCCTAATTCGGCTGTTGTTTGAAAGAAACGTTGTCCCTCCTCTGAAAAGAACCAACTCCCATCGTCATCACCTCTGAGGTAGTGGGTATAGCCTTTGAGAGCGTACGCTTCCGCGGCAGTTTTCAACCGATCGGCGGCACCATCCGTGTGATACGTGTCTGTCCATGAGCAGTCCACATCGGCAAATTGGATGAGCCGCTCCGGATAGCGTTTGACACACGCTGCGAACGTAATCGTTGTTTTCGGGGTTCCGATCGATGCGTGCGCAGATAAGCACAGCCTTGTCGACATCGTGCAGATCCATTTCGTGGAGCAGTTGTTCAACTCTGCCGCGACTTTCGTCATCAGGAACGGGTGGTTGATAGGGCCATCGGGGCCATGCGTGGGTATGTGAATCAATGATCATTTTTTCTCCTAAGCGGAAGCGCGTTGGTTTTGTACCTACCTATTTGAATTTAAACCGAGCATCAGGGCACCCAACTCTTGTTTGTTTGTTTCTGAAGGCTTCACAACACCAACGATTTTGCCATCGTACATCACTGCGATTCTGTCACTAAGGTGAAGGAGTTCGTCTAATTCAGAGGAGACGAGTAAAACGGCTTTCGCACGGTTACGGGCATGAATAAGCCGTGTGTGGACGAATTCCGCGGCATGGATGTCTAAGCCTCGTGTTGGGTGTGCCGCAATGATAACTTCAGGTTGTGCCTCTAACTCGCGAGCGACAACGACCTTTTGCTGATTTCCACCTGAAAGGGTCCGTATCGGATCTGTGATGTCTCCAACACGAATTTGGTATTTGTCGAGGGCATTCAGCGCATACCGTTGAATTGATTTTCGCTGCAGCAGTTCGTAGCGGCAGAATCGGCTGTGTTTATGGTGGCCGATGATGAAGTTATCGTCAATTCGGTCGTTCAGACTAATACCGTGTCGATGTCTGTCGGCGGGGATGTGCGCGATCCGTTCCCCGTTTAACGTGAATGTGCCGCTATCAATCTGCCGTAACCCTGTCAGGACCTGAACGAGTTCTGTTTGTCCGTTCCCTTCCACGCCTGCAATACCGACGATTTCACCGGGGAACACCTCAAGGTTAACTTCGTCGAGATGCCGTTTATTGGACGCTCTATGTGCCAGTACCTTTTTCCATCTTTGCCGCCTTGTGGTATCGGAATTTCCTGAGAGCGTGGCGTTTTCCAAACGGAGTAGAGGTGTTGTGCCTGTCGTCTGCTCCCGCGTCACAGAGGTAGGGATAACAGGTTCACCGAGAATCATTTCTGCCAACGTTGTCGGATCGGTGTCGTTGATAGGACAGGAGGCGACGGCTTGTCCACGTCGCATTACCGTGACGGTATCGGCGATTGCCATCACTTCATCGAGTTTGTGTGTGATGATAATGAGGCTTTTCCCTTCACTTTTGAGGTTACGCATACAATTAAAAAGCCCTTCGACCTCTTGCGGTGCGAGAACGGCTGTCGGTTCATCCATGATGAGGATGTCTGTACCGTGGTAGAGGACTTTCAGGATTTCCGTGTGTTGCTGTGCTCCAATCGGCAGGGATTCGATAGGCGTGTTCAATGGCACATCGAAACCGAGCTGCGCTGCGAGTGCGGCGATCTGTTCTCCTGCCTGTTGGTAATCAAGGAGCGCACCAAATTTGCGAGGTTCTTTGGCAAGGACGATGTTTTGGAGAGCCGTGAAGACCGGAATAAGCGTAAAGTGCTGCTGCACCATTCCCAAACCGAGCTGCATCGCGCGCCGTGGCGAGGAGATAGTTACAGCGCGTCCATCGACGAAAATCTCGCCTGCATCGGGTTGATACAGACCATAAAGGATTTTCATCAACGTAGACTTGCCTGCCCCGTTTTCGCCAACAATCGCGTGGATCTCACCCCGATGGAGCGTGAAATCTACAGCGACGTTTGCGTGTACTTGTCCAAAATGCTTGCTGATGCCACGCATTTCGATGATCGGTGTATGTGCCATCTCTACTGCCGTTCGTGCGGAACGACGATATCGCCCGCGATAATTTTCGCCTTAAATGCCTCGACCTGTCCCAGAATCTCGTCCGAGAGAAGGTCGCGATTGACATCATCGACGATGTACTCGACGCCACCCTCTTTAAGCCCGTAATCTTTCAAACCCCCAGAGAAATTCCCTTCTTGGACGCTCTTGATCGTCTCATAAATCGATATTTCCACACCTTTGATGACACTCGTGAGCACTAAACCCGGGGCGAGGTTATTACCGTTAGAATCGACCCAGATAATAGATTTTTGTGTCGATTTTGCGGCTTCAAGGACACCCAGACCGCTCGCACCTGCAGCAGCGAGGATGATGTCTATCCCACGGTTGTATTGCGTCAGGGCGAGCTCTTTGGCTTTCGCTGGATCGTTGAAGGCTTGTGGTGTAACGCCTACATAATCCGCTACCAGTTCAAGATCGGGGTTTGTTGCCTTAATGCCGGCGCGATAGCCGATTTCAAAAGCCTCAACCAGCGGCACCTTCATCCCCCCGATAAAACCTATCTGCTTTGTCTCTGTTTTCAACGCTGAGATGACACCCGCAAGGAATGTCCCTTCGTGTGCTCGGTAGGTCAGCGACGCGACGTTGGGTTGTTCTATGACTGCGTCGATAAGCGCGAACTTGACATCTGGGAAATCGCTTGCGACGCGGTTCATCGGTTCTTGAAAGAGAAAACCGACCCCGATGATGAGATTGTATTTCAGTTGCGCAAGTCTGCGGAGCGTCAATTCGGTATCTGTACTGAGGCTTGGGGTAACCTCTGTGAGTTTAAATCCCCATTCATCCTTCGCTTTCTTCGCGCCTGCGTAGGCGGCATCGCAGAAGGAGAGATCGCCGCGTCCGGTCACATCATAGATGAGACCGACTTTCAGTGCCGCGGGGGCTGTCTCTATCACAGCAAAGCATACGATAAAAAGTGTGATTAAAATCCTTATACGCAAAATGTTTTCCTTTCTAATTCCGTAGTTTTATGATGAATGGAGCCTAAGAGTATCTGTATGCTATTTAGGATATATGATAATAGGGTCAAATGCAAGTGTTATTGTGGTTCTGACATCCTTGAAGTTAATGTTGACTTTTTTGTTTTTTAACGGTATTCTACTTGTAGAATTTCTGCTGTCGTTGTGATAGTAGGAAATGCGTTGACGAGTCCTAAATTGTATTGAGGGAGACAGGAGGAAAGAATATGAGAGTGGTTATCAGATCTCTGAAGGGGTTAGCTTTAAGCCTCATCGTCCTATTCGGTGTTGCGCTTGCGCCACCAACATTCGCAGGTACCCAATTGTGGGACTTCGAGGAAAAGCACGACGACTGGAAAGTCGCCAATGGGAATTGGGAAATCAAAGGCGGAGTCTACCATGTTGATAAGGGTGGAAGAGCTGAACACTCCCTCATTGGTGAAGAGAAGTGGGACGACTACACTATTGAGGCGAAAGTTCGATTGGATGAGCACAATTGGGCAGGTATCGTTTTTCGAGCGCAAAGCGAAATGGAGTACTATGTCTATTACCTCAACGTGCCCAATAACATAGTAGAACTCTGGCGACACAAAAAAGGTGACTGGACTGCCCGCGACAATATTGTGAAAACCCCTCCTGTTCAAGGTGTCAAGATAGAAAACGGCAAATGGATCGATATGAAGGTAGTCGTTGAAGGCAGTGAATTTGCAGTGTATCTCAACGGTAAACTTCAGGCTGAGAATAAAGATGATGTCTACAAAACCGGTCAAGTCGGGGTGTGGGCATGGGAAACCGAGGCAAGTTTTGATGATTTCACCGTTAGCGGTGATAATATCAAGGATACCCTTGCAGTTGACCCGAACCATAAATTAGCAACAACATGGGGGCATCTCAAACGGGTTTACTAATTTTGAGCAAGGTTTAGCCTCCGGAGTTTTCTGCGTGAGAACCTCGTTAAAAACCTTTGAGGCAACTTTAATAATTTGTGCCTGTAAGCGCGCTTGGGTGTTTTCAAAGTGCGTCTCCAGGTAGATTGTCATGATAGTGAGGAATGGATTGACGAATGTCTAAATTAGATTGACAAAAATGGAGGAGAATTATGAGAATGACTATCATAGTGCCGAAATTAGCGGCATTGAGTCTCGTTGTGCTTTTCGGTATCGCACTTGCGATACCAACGTACGCAGGTACCCAATTGTGGGACTTCGAGGAAGATCACGATGACTGGAAAGTTGCCAATGGGGAATGGGAAATCAAAGGTGGTACCTATCACGTTGACCGAGGTGGACAAGCCGAACATTCGCTCATCGGCGAAGAAAAGTGGGATAACTATACCATTGAAGCGAAAGTTCGGTTAGACGCTGGCAATTGGGCCGGTATCGTTTTTCGGGCGGAAAGCGAGATGGAATACTATGTTTACTACCTCAATGTGCCTAGTAACATAATAGAACTCTGGCGACACAAAGAGGGTGGCTGGGCTGCCCGCGACAATATCGCGCAAAATCCTGCTGTTGAGAAGGTCAAAATAGCCAACGAGGAATGGATTGATATGAAAGTAGTCGTTGAAGGCGACACCTTTGAGGTGCACCTTAATGGTAAACTGCAAGCTGAACACACAGATGGTGCCTACAAAACCGGTCAAGTCGGCGTGTGGGCATGGGAGACTGAGGCGAGTTTTGATGATTTCACTGTTAGCGGTGATAATATCATAGATACCCTTGCCGTTGATGCGAGTCACAAACTGGCTACCACATGGGCTCGCCTCAAACGGGTTTACTAATTTTTTCAGTGGTTCAACCTCAGAAGTTTTAGGGCGGCAGAATCGGCCACCCTCGCTGGCGGGGTTTCTAAGCCCGCCACAGTCTATAGGTAATTGTATATTTCACTACAATAGGAGCAAATAATGAAATATCTTTTTTCAATTGTTGTATGTTGTTTACTCGTAGCCTCCGTCGCTTTTGCCGGCGAACAAACTTGGTCATTTGAAGGGGAAGCAGACGACTGGACACCCGCTAACGGCGATTGGAGTGTCGAAGATGGCACTTATAAGCTTGCCAAAGGTGGTAGAGCCGAGCACTCCCTCATCGGTGACGTTGGATGGGAAGATTACACTGTTGAGGCGAAAGTTCGGCTTGATGAAGGGAACTGGGCAGGTGTTGTCTTTCGCGCACAAAGCGAGATGGAATACTATGTCTACTATCTCAATGTTCCGAATAACAAAACTGAGCTTTGGCGACATAAGACCGGAGCGTGGGACGCTCGCGATAAGATTGGCGAACTCGCTGGATCTAACATCACTGTAGCGAACGGCGAATGGTTTGACATGCGAGTCGTCTTAGAAGGCAATGTGATGAAACTCTGGATTAACGGTGAAGAGCAAGGCGAACTCGCCGATGAAACCGGTGCCGGATACCCTGCTGGTCAAGCCGGTGTGTGGGCGTGGGAAACTGCTGCGAGTTTTGATGATGTCAAGGTCGTTGGGGATGAGGTCATCGGCGGCGGAACCCCGGTCGAACCCCAAGATAAATTGGCTACCACGTGGGGACACATCAAACAGCGTTTTTAGGTGGTAGTTTCGTTTCACCACTGGGATGGTAACAAGTGGTACGGAAACTTTCCTATTACACAGTTGCGTTGGTGGTGCTCGTTGGGTGCCACCTTACCCTCTGGCAGGTTCCGAACGCGTTTAGTCAAGAAACGGGTGTTGCGGATATCACAACACGGATTCGTGTTTATAAGGCACAATTGGCTGCTGATGGCACTCAGACTGAAATCCGACTGCAACTCGCGAAGGTGTACCTCCAAATTGAGGCTTACACGGAAGCAGTTGACGAGTATCATCGAATTATAGCGCCAATGGAAGCGGATACAGTTCCGCGGCGTGAAGAGATTGGGCGCAACTCAGATGTTTCCGCTGCTTACTACGGTTTGGGGTTAGCGTATACTGGGCTTGAAAAGTTTGAGGATGCCATAGCCGTATACAAACGCTCTATTGTGCATAAACCTGACTCAGCATATACCCACGCGGCTTTGGCGAGTGCTTACGCGAACATGCACCGTTACGCCGAAGCACTCGACGCTTACAAAGTGGCGGTCGCGTTGGATCCGAACGATGAGATGATTCATCATCAACTCGGAAATGTCTATAGCAAACGTGGTGAACGTTCAGCAGCGATACAGCATCAGCAACGTGCGATTGCCATTGCCCCAGAATTCGCAGCTGCGCACTACCAGTTAGGGCTGCTCTACGCACAAGAAAAACGGTGGACTGACGCGATAGCGTCGTATCGGACCGCGTATGCGCACGATGAGACGTTAGTTGAGGCACTCTATAATCTCGCGCAAGCATCCCTTCGCGCAGGGAATCCGTCAGCCGCACGTGAGCAGATGGCACTGTTTGAGAGGCGAAAAGCGGCACTAATGCCGCTCCAGCAGTTGCGAGGCGCGTTGCAACGGGAGCAAGGGACAGCGGAACGCTCCCAGATTCTCACCAACATCGCGAGGCTCTATCTTAAAAACGGGTTTTACGAGAAAGCGGTCTGGGAGTACCAGAAAGCACTTGGCATGGCCCCCCAACTTGTGCTTGCTTATAACGGTTTGGGTATCGCTTATACGATGCTTGGGAAAGCACTCGGAAGCCGTTACTGCACAGCGGAAAGCATTGGAACTCCAACCGAATTTCGCAAAGGCATACGCCGGACTCGGTTTGGCGTATTTCAGTCAGAATGAAGCGGAATCCGCACTGCAACATTACCGACGCGCAGCCGCGCTGGAACCCCAATTTTTAGAGGCACATCTAAAAATTGGGATAATTCTCCTGAATCAGGAGCGTTATGCGGAGGCGATTGGGACGTATCGGGCAATTCTCAAAATGAAGCCTGACGATCCTGAGATATACCACAACTTGGGATTATGCTACGCACATCAAGCGGAAGCGGCACGTGATACGCACCGATCTCCTGAGGCACCCTCTATTGAAAATTTGACGGTTTCAGCGTTGACGGCACTTGAAAAGGCGGTTGCGCTTGCGTCATCTGATGCCGGTGATTCGAGTGAAGTAGCGCAATTATCTAACCAACCACCGTTTTTGACGGAGACCTACTATCTCATCGGTGAACTTCAGGCAAGTCAAGGGGATTTTGGTGCGGCGAGGACGGCTTACCTAACATCCGGCTTACCAAAGGCGTACCATGCGCTCGCACGGTTAAGTGCGAAGTCTACAGGGAAAAATGAAAAAAGTGGCGAACAGAGTGTAGATTTAGAAACCACTCGTGGTTATGCCGAGGAAGCCATCCGCTTAGATCCGAACGTCGCGAGTTATTACAATACACTTGCACTCATTGACTTTCGGCGCGGCGATTATCCACAGGCAGAGAAGGCGATCCGAAAAGCGTTGGAACTTGAGCCGGAAAATCGGAACTATCAACAAGGGTTAAAACAGATTTCTGGTAAATTGGTGGCTGAGTGACCGCACTTACGTTATAGACATAGCAAGCCGAAGAAAGTGCGGGTTCTTGTGTGTACTGTTTTCTATAGACATAGTACCCCTACGGGGTGCGATTGCTTATATAAGCCCTTCCTATTCTCACTGTGAAGCAATATCACCCCTATGGGGTAAAGAAGGACACTGAAAAGGGTTCTTCAAACGTGCAGAATTCGTTAGTAGGAAGTTGAATTATCATAAAGATGTGGAAAATTAACTGAAAACCTGCGCGAAACGAAGTGGAGCGCAGTCCAGGAGCCCATAGTTAAAAAAATGGCATACGCAAGCCTCGCAGAGTTCGTCAAAGCTTTGGATCGAGCAGGTGAACTCAAACGTATTAAAACAACTGTATCCCCGGAACTGGAAATCGCTGAAATCACCGACCGGGTGAGTAAAGCAGGCGGTCCTGCGCTTCTCTTTGAAAAGGTTGAAGGCAGCCAAATGCCGCTCCTGATCAATACTTACGGCTCTTATCAACGGATGGCGATGGCTCTCGGAGTTGACGATCTTGGGCAGATTGCGTCGGAAATTGAGAGGATGATTAAATTGGGACCTCCTGATTCCCTCCTCGATAAGATGAAAATTCTCCGACTGCTGTCGCAATTGACGAACTTCCCCCCCAAGACGGTAAAAAAAGGAGCGTGTCAGGAGGTCGTCCTGACCGGTGAGGAGGCATCCTTAGATGTCCTACCGCTCATTAAATGCTGGCCCCTTGATGCCGATAAATACATCACCTTACCCCAAGTTTTCACGCATAGCCTTAAATCGGGTCAACGTAACGTTGGTACATATCGTTTACAGAAAATGACACCGCACGCCTTAGCGATGCACTGGCAAATTCACCACGATGGTGCGGCGCATCATCGAGAATATCGGCAAGCTGCGCAACAGATGCCCGTCGCAATCGCACTCGGCGGCGATCCAGTGATGTCTTATATCGGCACGGCACCCCTTCCCTCTGGGATTGATGAACTCCTATTCGCCGGGTTTCTCCGAAAATCGAATGTGGAGATGGTGCCTGCTAAGACGATTGATATGCTCGTACCAGCAGAGGCGGACATCGTGATTGAAGGGTATATTGAGCCAAATGAAACCTGTATTGAGGGACCCTTCGGCGACCATACCGGGTTTTATTCCTTAGCAGATGAGTACCCGCTCCTTCACATCACGGCGATTACGCATCGGAAAAATCCTATCTATCAGACGATCATCGTTGGTAAACCACCGATGGAGGATTGCTACATGGGTAAGGCGACTGAGCGGATCTTCATGCCATTGATTAAAACGCAGCTGCCAGAACTCGTCGATATGAATCTACCCTTGTTTGGCGTATTTCACAATTTTGCCCTGATTTCTATTGACAAACGCTACCCGTACCAGGCAAAGAAGATTATGCACAGTTTTTGGGGACTCGGGCAGTTAATGTTCAGCAAAATTATCATCGTTGTTGATAAAGAGGTTGACGTTCAGAATGTCGAAGAGGTGCTTTTTTATGTCGGAAGCAATGTCGATCCAAAAAGGGATGTGACGATTGTTGAGGGACCTGTTGATGTGCTGGACCATGCGGCACCGCTTATGGGCGCGGGATCGAAGATGGGCATTGATGCAACAACGAAATGGGCAGAGGAAGGGTATCAACGCGAGTGGCCTCAGGAACTACAAATGTCCGACGAGGTGATTGCATTGGTCGATGAAAAGTGGAAAAAATACGGTTTTTAATTTTACCTTGCGGAGGAATAGCACGGACTTGACTTTGAACTGCCTTTTCTTATATCCGTCCTCCGCTACGCTTACGGACTACACTTCGGAAAATTATCAAAAACGGTAGCCTGCAACAACGGCGCAGGCGGATTTGAGAAACATACGCAATGGACACAACGATCGTTGTTTAACCGCAAGGAAAATTAGAAAAAAGGAAAAAACCATGCAAGAAACGATTTACGATGTTGCGGTAATTGGCGCGGGACCTGCTGGCGCGCAAGCGGCGGTTTCAGCGAGCCATCAAATGCGGCATGTGTTGGTGCTGCACTCAGGAAAGGTGAGTTTTAGTCGTGGGCGCGCTTACTGGTCAAAGTCCGTAGAAATTGAAGATGCTCCGGTCTTCCCCGGTATCATTGGACCCCACTTTGCGAAGGAACTCATGAAATGGATGGAGAGCCGCCCTGTCGTCGATTTCATGCTGGGTTCGGAGAAACGCAAGACAGGCATTGATATACGCGATGGAATGGTCGCGAAACTCACACGGAACGGGGACCTCTTTGAACTCGAAGCATCTACAAGAACACCTAAACAAAATACACCTCTGGAGATGGCATCTTTTAAATCTCGTACCGTCGTCGTTGCCGTTGGGTTTGATGATAAGTGGCCCGATATTGAATTTGAATCCGATGCTGAGCGTTTATATAAGCAGTATGCTACGGTATTTCGCTATGCAGGCAATCGAAAAGGGTGGCACGTCTGTATCCGTTGTGATGGACATCTACATGTCAACGAGCATCTTGCACTCCTCGGTGTTGGTGACTATATCTATGAGGCAGCGATTGGTGCGCAAGATTTTACCGATAAAATTACAATTCTAACAAACGGCAGACCGCACGGTATATCGCCACCTGTGTTGGAGCAGGTCAAGGCACGTAAAATTAATATCATTGAGACAAAAATTAAACGGCATATTGGTGAAAAAACGAATCTCTTGGGATTTGAGATGATTGATGGGAGCGAATTGTTTTTCCACGGTTTCCTCGTTGATGAAGGACTCATCCCGAATACGAAGTTTCTTGAGGGGTGGGATTATCAGAAAGATGAGGAAGGCTTGATTGTCGCAAACGAGGATATGCAGATGTTGGATAGCAATGCGGTGCCGATTCCCGGACTCTTTGCTGCAGGCGACATCATATCTGGCGAGCGAAACCTAATCGCGACTGCGTTCGCGCTCGGACAGGAGGCAGGTTTGTCGGCATCAGACTCCTTGCGTCAATGGCATTTCCCACATTAGGAGGCAGGCATAGAAATAATGCAAAACGAGCAGAAAGATACTGTCTACATTATTGATACCCACGCCGAAATATTTCGGGCTTATTATGCAATTCGTAACGGATTGACGAGTAGCATTACCGGCGAGGCGACACACGCCGTGTTTGGGTTCGCTGGCACACTTATTAGAATCTTGACGCAACTTCAGGCAAAATATGTCGTCGCTGCGATTGATACACCGGGTGGCACGTTTCGCAATGAACTGTATTCGGAATACAAGGCGAATCGCTCTCCAGCACCTGATGATCTGGTGACTCAGATTCATCGTATTCTGGAGTTGCTCGAGGCATTTGGTATCTTGACGCTCGGTAGACCTGAATTGGAAGCGGACGACATCATCGCCTCTGTCACTCAGGCAATACTTGACGATCCAGAGGCGCGTGATATCGATGTCAGTATTATTTCTAAAGACAAAGACCTTGAACAGTTATTACTCGGCGATCGGGTCACAATGCTTGACCTCCATAACGATAAGGTTATCGACGTTCGATCGCTGTGGGAGACGAAAGGGATAAAACCGTCCCAGGTTGTTGATACCCTTGCTTTAATGGGTGATACTTCAGATAACGTACCCGGTGTTGAGAAAATCGGCTTGAAAACGGCGGCACAATTGATTCAGCAGTACGATTCCATTGAGGGTATTTTTGAGAACATCAATGAGATTAAAGGGAAACGTCGCGAAAATTTGGAGAAGGCACGTTCACAACTCGACCTTTCACGAGAACTCGTAACCTTGAAGCGATATGCTGCTTTGGACTTCTCCATAGAGAAGGCACGGGTCAAACCGCTTGATCTCCAGAAGATCCTCCCACTGTTCCAAGAGTTAGAACTCAAGCGTTATGAGCAAGTTGTGACGGAGCTTGCGAGTGGAAATTCTGCGTCCGCTGCTGATCCTACGCCTGCAACGCGTAAGGAACGGGTTGCGGAGTTAGCACAGAAAACGGATGCCATTTTGGACAAAGGCGACTACGGGACCGCTGAAACAGGGGACTATTCGGCGATCGTCACCCTCGACCAATTGAAAGATCTCGTTGACACCCTATCGGCACAGGAGATTATTAGTTTTGATACCGAAACGGATGGCTTGGAACGTGAGGCGATGCTATGCGGATTGAGTTTTTCATGGAAACCGAAGCAAGGTGTTTACGTGCCGGTGCGTTCGCCTCAACCTGAAGATCATTTGGATACAGATACCGTGCTTTCGGCACTTAAGCCGATTTTGGAGAACCCCGCGCTACCGAAATGTGGCCATAATCTGAAGTTTGATGCCGGCATTCTTATCAGGCACGGTGTTAAACTCCAAGGAGCTGTTTTCGATACGCTGCTCGCAAGTCAATTAGTTGACGCGCGTACCCCGTCCCATAACCTTGATACGTTGGCGTTGCTCCATTTAGAGCACAAGATGATCTCTTTTCAGGAGCTAACGACGGATTCAGGTGATGCGATGCCTTCTGACGAAGCGATGGACTTCGGTGAACTGTTTGAGGTGGAGGCAGGACTGCAGAAAACAATTGATCAGGTGCCGTTGGAACAAGCCACAATTTACGCCGCAGAGGATGCTGACATTACCCTCCGACTCTATCATTTCCTTACGCCAAAACTTGATGAGATGGGCATCACGGCGTTAGCACGTGATATAGAATCACCGCTCGCGCCTATTCTCGCTGAAATGGAATACAACGGTATCGTTTGCGATAAGGAGGAACTCAAACGCCAAAGCATTGTGATTAGCGAGCTCGTTGATGCGCGGCAAAAGGAAATTCACGAAATCGTCGGATATCCGTGTAATATTGATTCACCGAGACAACTCGCACAAGTGCTGTTTGATGAACTCGGTTTCAAACCCGTGAAACGGACGCGGGGTGGCAAAGTTTCCACCGATGTGACAGTGTTAGAGGCACTCTCTCTGAGAGAGGATATCAACGATCCGAAGACCAGCGTTCCACGCTTAATAATTGAGTACCGCCAATTCCGTAAGTTACAGAGTACTTATCTCGCGCAACTCCAGAGTGCTGTTGATCCAAAAACAGAGCGTATCCACACACATCTCTATCAGTTAACAACAGCCACAGGACGTTTGAAGTCCGACCACCCCAATCTACAGAACATTCCTGTCCGAACTGAGATTGGAAGGCAATTGCGACGTGCGTTCAAAGCACCAGATGGGCATCAGTTAATCTGTGCAGATTATTCACAGATTGAACTACGCATCCTCGCGCACTTTAGCGAAGATGAAAATTTAATCGAGACATTCACCCAAAATTTGGATATTCATACAGCAGTGGCTTCGCAAGTGTTTGAGGTCCCGGCTGCATCGGTTACGCGCGAACTTCGCGATAAGGCGAAAACTATTAATTTTGGCATCATTTACGGGGTTTCGCCGACAGGTCTCTCACGTCGGATTAAGGGGATGCGTGTAAAGGAAGCGGCGGCACTGATTGATGATTATAAAACGCGTTTTCCGGGGATAGATCGTTTTCTGCAGCAGTGTGTCAAGCAGGCATCGGATCACGGGTATGTTAGCACGCTCACCGGCAGGCGACGAGCAATTCCTGAAATCTATGCCACTAACCGAAGTCGGCGAAGTCTCGGCGAACGGCTGGCAATCAATACTGTGGTGCAAGGTTCTGCTGCAGATTTAATGAAGGCAGCGATGGTACACGTGCAGCGTCGTATTGATAAGGATAGACTGCCCTTGAAAATGCTTCTACAGATTCATGATGAGTTAGTGCTTGAAACGCCAGAGGCACTCGCGGCGGAGCATGCCGCAATTGTCTGTGAAGAGATGGAGAATGCGATGTCGCTTCGGGTACCGCTTCGGACAGAGGCAGGAATCGGAGATAATTGGATGACCGCGAAGTGATAGATCCCCGAATAAATTCATGGGTTTTGTGTCAGAAAAGAAATAAAAATGAAATTAATATTGACAAGTGATATAAATTGTGGTATAATTCTATGTGAATCTATTAAGGGAAATGTGGATAGTGTCCGCTGGCAAAATTACGAGTAGTGTTTTGACAGTGTTACGGTTTGGAACCGAAACATGCTCATTGTAAGTGTGACAAGGCTTCCAAAGAGAGATTGATGAGAGTTAATTTTTGCCAATCTTTGCAATTTGGACATTGCGTGCAATGTCCGGCTACGCTTGCTGCCAAATTTCTGCCTTTGAAAATGCTGACAGTGCTCAGTTTTCTCATTTTCCCGTATTTCTATACCCTATACTGGTTTTTTGAGGGACACGGTTCTCATGAATGTACCGATTGTCTTCGTGATGCTGGATTAGGGGACACATAATTTCTAAAAGGAGAAACGAGATGAATATCTATGTTGGCAACGTGCCTTATACGGTTAGCGAAACCGACCTCGAAGAACTCTTCGGAGAGTATGGTCAGGTAGCGACGGCTACGATTATCCGTGACCGGTACGATGGTCGCTCCAAAGGGTTTGGCTTCGTTGAGATGGAAAACCAAGAGGATGGCGAGCGAGCGATAGAAGCATTGGATGGCCAAGATATGAGTGGACGTCCGTTGAAAGTCAATCCTGCGCGCCCTCGCGAGCAACGCCGCGAGCCCCGTCGGTATGATGACTCAGACAGGCATATGTAGTCTGTTTTGTAACCGTTTCAGTGCGATTCCATCTGTTTAGGCAGTTGGAGTTGGATTGGAAAACTGTCGCGATGGGATAGCAACAGTTTGTTTGTGTCCTGTTGCGTTGATAAATTTTGCCCCGGTTTTAGGATTTGTTTGTTCTAAACGAGTCTTGAACCGGGGTAATCTGTTTAAATTGACAGGGACAGGTTGGGGGGACGGCGATCGGTGCCGCTCCCGCAACCCGTCCTGTACTGGAATTGCTTAGTATTCTTTCCGCTTGAGGATACCCCAAGTTACTGCAATTTTCCCCGCAGGTTCTACCGCAACGCCTAAGGCGGTCAAGCCATTGTTCATAACATCAGCAATATCGTCGTCTGTCAAAGGTGCGTGGAAAAGACCTACTTCGTCCATTGCCCCTGTGAACCAATTGCCAGTACCGTCCCAAACGCCACATCCCCCGATATTCACGTTGAAATCCGATCTGCCGTGGTTCGGCCAATTCCCGTTTACCGTCGTTGCATTGCCATCGATGTAAACTTTCGTGAATTTTTGGGTGGCGACAGCGGCGACGTGGTGCCACTCACCGGGTGGGTGTTCGTATGGATTATTATTAATACCGGCTGTGGGAGTCCATAGCGAAACGGTACCGGGGTCAATAAAACCGAATTCCGGTGAATCGTTCTGCCCTATCAATCCGATGCGATTCGAGGTGATAGTCCCCGGTTTTATCCACGCAACGACTGTGAATTCACGCGCGCCGTTGAGAAGTTTTTGGTTCGTGTTGACACAGTTGCCCGTGCCGTCAAACCCTAAGGCACTGCCGAATCGTCCATCCACCCAAATGGGAGCATTGACAATCGTTCCATGGTTATTGTTTCCTGAGGAGTCCAGCGCGTCGCTTCCGTCCGCTTCGTCAAACAGCCAAAGACCGACAACACTGCTCGGGTCAATTGCGGCACTACTGCTGTTCACGGCAACGAGACTAATCACCATCAGCCCTAAACTAAACAGGATAAATGTTAAAGCGTTAAATTTCATTTGAATCCTCTCACTTTCTTTAGAGATTTGCCGCGCTGCAACGCGGACTGTTTCGTGGCACTACTCCACTGTCTGTCAAACTATCGGTGCATGTTGATCGCGTGATGTTCCACGCAACGTTAGAAATAAGCATTAAATATATTCTGACATATTTTGCATTAAAATGCAAGTTTTTTTATAGCAACGCTATTTTACCATTGTAGCAGACATGCATAGAAATTATCAAACGAAATTAATTCTGAACCCTCGAACATTTGTTTTTATTTCTTGGTAAGGACATTTTGTAAACGAACGTATCGAGGTTATCGAATTTCTATGCTCACGCCAACTGCTTTGCGAACCCTCGCCAGAATTGGTCCGGCGATATCGCGTGCTTTTTCCGCCCCTTTTTCGAGTATTTTATCCAATTCATCGGGGTTGTCCATTAACGCATTATACCGATCGCGTTGCTCGGAAAAGGTAGTTTCCAGCAACGCAAATAATTCCTTTTTCATTTCGCCATACGCGAGCCCACCTTCAAGATAGAGTTTCCGCTTGGCTTCAACGGCATCCGCATCCGCAAGATGACGATAGATCGCGAAGATGTTACATTCATCCGGGTCTTTCGGCTCTTCTGGACGCTTGGAATCGGTTACAATGCGCATGACAGGTTTGCGTACTTCGTTAGCAGGTGCGAAGATTGGGATGACGTTGTTATAACTTTTGCTCATTTTTCTGCCGTCGATTCCGGGAATAGTCATCACATCTTCCCGAATTACGGCTTGCGGGATTACCAAGACATCGCCGTAATTGCCGTTGAAAGTCAAAGCAACATCGCGCGTAATTTCGAGGTGTTGCTGTTGGTCAAAACCGACCGGCACAATATGTGTTCCGAAAAGGAGAATGTCTGCTGCCATCAAAACAGGATAGGTGAAGAGCCCTGCGTTAATGTTCTTATCCTCTTCACGACCCCTCGGCGATATTATCATCAACAATCGCTTTATAGGCGTGTGCGCGGTTGAGCAATCCCTTTGTTGTGAAGCACGACAATACCCACGCCAACTCGAATACCTCTGGAATGTCTGACTGACGGTAGAAAATCACATCATCAGGGTTTAATCCCAACGCTAACCACGTCGCAGTGGCTTGATGGGTTAAATGCGTCAGTTGCTTCTTATCTCTTACGGTAGTGAGCGCGTGGTAATCTGCTATAAAGTACAGTGCTTGAAAATCCTTCGCGAGCTCCAGTGCCGGTTTGATCATGCCGAGATAGTTCCCAATATGCAGCTGTCCTGTTGGTTTGATGCCAGTCAATGTAATCTGTTTCAATTCCCTTCCATCCTTCTTTTTGTATCTTAATTCTATTTTAACCCGCTGGGACTTATATAGTAGATTTTGAAATTACTTGGGCACTCGTATCATTGTGCGAACTTGTGAGGTTGTATGTCACGGATGCACAGGCTAACAACCTATGCTACAAGTGGATGCACAGGCTAACGGCCTATGCTACAAGTGGATGCACAGGCTAACGGTCCTATGCTACAAGTGGATGCACAGGCTAACAACCTATGCTACAAGTGTAAACATATTTTCAGATTTTACTATATATTCAATCAAGCCTCTGAATTACAACAGGATCACCCGACTTTATTCCCAAACCTTCTTTGGCGTTCCCACCATTGATAGCAATTTCTAACAACCCACAGCTTCCTATGATTGCCAGAGGTTTGCCGATGCCAGATTCAGCGTAAGCGCGGTTCAGTCGATTAAGTCTCGCACTTCCAACTCTGATTTCGTAAATAGACATCTCTCCGGTAGACGCGCTTTCTAAGCGAGCAATTGCGGTTTCCGATATATTTGTTATCGCATTCCCGAATCTGTCAATTTTAACAATTTCCCCTGTCAGTGTATTACCGGAGAGTTCCGGCACTTGAATCGGTAGTTGAACGAGGGTTTGCGTCGGCGGACCGATGTTATCAAGCCGAACGCCGAGCGATAGATGTGCCGCAACGGGGGCGAAAATATCTCTGCCGTGGAATGTGTTGCTCACTTCTGATAGATAGTACGCACTGTTTTGAATCGCCACTGCATCTACGGGGTGTTTCTCTCCGTTCTCAATGCTTTGCAATAGGTAGCTCAGCACGCCATTGTCGGGACAGACGAAAAATGCGCTCTCTGTTTGGCAAACTATTGCCTGTCGATCGCTCCCTACACCCGGATCCACTACGATGATATGAATCGTTCCTTTCGGGAAGTAGCTGTGCGCGGCATAAATTGAGAAAGCCGCTTCGTAGATATCTTGTGGTGGGATAGCGTGTGTAAGGTCAACTACCCGGGCATTCGGATTAATGCTGAGGATGACACCTTTCATGATTCCGACATAAGCATCGCTTGTGCCAAAATCGGTTGTTAGCGTAATGATACGAGGCGGTTCATTCATTGGTTACAGGTTTGCTTGCATCCAAGTAAAACTTTTTCTTTGACCCGTGCCGTCGTTTTCTCTACCTTCATATTCGCAGCACCAGACACCATCATAGCCTGCTTCTCTCAGACAGCGGATTGCCTTCGCGAGATCTATTTCACCTTCACCGAGTGCCTCGCCGCGGTAATCTCCACGTGAACCCGTCCCGTCTTTCAGGTGCGTGTGCAATGTGTAAGGCGCGACAATCTCGTAATATCTACCCACGGTTTCCAAATCGTGACCCGCCCAACGGTAATTCATCGTGTCCATATTCGCACCGACATATTTGGAACCGACACGTTCAAAGAGCTCTACCTGCAAGTCACCGTCATTTGTAACGATGCCGTGATTGTCCACTGCTAAGTAGACCTCATCACGTTCGGCGAATTCAAGGCATCGTGTCAGACATCCAGCCATAGCTTCAACCCATCGACTTTCTGGGACAGCATCTTTTGCGGAGCCACCCTCCGTGCGGAGAACCGAGGTGCCGAGGTGTTTCGCAATTCCTGAGATGCGTTCCATCCGTGTGACTTGGGAACGAATGGCTTCCTCTTCCAACACAACGAAGTCGTTTCCCGCAGCAAGTGCGGAGACTTGCAAGCCGTAACCTTCAACCTGTGCTCTCACGACCTCCGCATTTTGTTCAGGATTGGCGGTATCCGAGTTCCATACGTCGCCAATCTGGAGCTCGACGTAACTGAACCCTGTTTCACTCGTAAATTTCAGAAAATCGTCAAGTGATTTACTTGCGTAGTTATAATGAATAAGTCCTAATTTTGACATAAATTTATCTACTCCTCTTTGAGTGCCGGATCCCATAAGAGCAGTTACAAACCGCTCCTACCTTGTGTGACGAACCGCTGACTGCTGACAACTAAAAAAGACTTGCATCTTTAAAGTTGTTGTGCTATAATACCTTTGTTGCAAAATAAGTGTCAAGCAATTTTTCACTTTCTATAGCAAGCTTTGGCTTGCAAACTTCGTGGGAAAATGGAGAACCGATTAGGGTAAAGAGATAATGGAGAATTATAGTCGCTTTACGGACCCGAAATTATCTGCCATTTATGAAAAAGTCAAGGCAGAACAACGACTCTCCTTTGAAGAGGGGGTCGTGCTTTATGAAAGCCCGGATATTACAGGGGTTGGATTTATAGCGAATCATGCCCGTGAACGTCTAAATGGAAACGTCGCTTACTATAACATCAACCAGCATATTGATTATTCAAATGTCTGTATTCTACACGCTCGGTGCCATTTTTGTGCTTTTGCCCGAAAGAATATGCAAACGGAAGGGGCATGGGAAATGAGTGTTGATGAATTCTTGGACAAGGCGATGTATTCTATAGAGCACGGATGCACTGAGATTCATAGTGTGGGTGGATTACACCCTAAATTGCCTTTCGATTACTACTTAGACATCATCCGCGGGCTCAAGGAACGGATGCCACAAGTACACCTCAAATTCTTCACTGCTGTTGAAATTCATCACTTTTCGCGTATCTTTAAAATGTCGATGGAAGAAGTTTTGACGGAATTACGGGAGGCGGGTTTGGATTCGTTACCCGGGGGTGGTGCTGAAGTATTTGCGGAAGAAACGCGCGAGAAGATTTGCCCGGGAAAACTGAGTGCAGAAGGATGGCTGGAGGTTCACGACATCGCACATCGTCTCGGTATTCCGACGAATGCAACGATGCTTTACGGGCACCTTGAGACAAACGCGGATAGAGTAGATCATTTCATTCGGTTGCGGGAGCAACAGGATAAATCCGGTGGTTTCGCGACGTTCATCCCACTTGCGTTTCATCCCGCCAACACTCGCATGGCGTATCTACCCTCAACGACGGGTTTGACCGATCTTCGAAACATCGCCGTTGCACGCTTGATGCTCGATAACCTACCACACATTAAAGTTTACTGGATTATGACCGGTTGAAGACTGCACAGGTCGCGCTCCGTTTCGGAGCTGACGATATTGATGGCACTGTAACTGAGGAAAAAATTACACACATGGCGGGAGCGGACACGCCAGAGGCGGTTTCCGTTTCAGCACTAACACACCTCATTGAGGAGGCTGGCTTCGTGCCTGTTGAGCGTGATACGCTTTACAATGAGATCATTCGAGAGGGGAATCGGTGGTACAGAAAAGCCGCTTAAGGGTCGGCGCGGTCTCGTTCCTGAACACTAAACCGCTTATTTATCCGCTACTGAACGAGGAAATCCAAACAGAGATTGAACTCAGTATTGATGTCCCCAGCCGTCTCGCGTTGTTCTTAAGCAGAGGTGAAATTGAAGTCGGACTGATTTCGAGTATCGAATATTTTCGAGCGAATCCTTCGCATACGTCTTACTGCATTTTACCAGATATATCAATTGCGTCTCACGGAAGCGTCAAAAGTATTCAATTGTTCAGTCGCGTCCCGATTCCAGAGATTCGACGTATTGGGCTTGATACGAATTCCCGGACCTCTATTGCGCTGCTTAAAATCCTACTCGCTGAAAAGTATCAAATCTCTCCAGCGTTCACAATGTGTAGACCGACAGTAAGTCCAAAGACTGCCCTTCAAGATCGTCAAGATCCGCCTTTTGATGCAATCCTCTTAATCGGAGATCCGGCACTCAGACATCTGGGTTCAACAGAATATAATGTAGATCTTGGTAAGGCGTGGTATAAGTTAACCGGTTTACCCTTTGTCTACGCTTGTTGGGTTGCGAGGAAGGAAGCCTGTCTCGGTGATTTATCGCAAGTGCTTCTCCAATCGAAAGCACTCGGTATCGCACAAATTCCAGAAATCGCACGGATTGAGGCGCAAAAGCTTGGTTTGCCCGAAAAGCTGTGCCGCGATTATTTGCAGCATCATATCAAATATGACTTAGGCGAATCTGCGATCAAAGGTCTTGAACTTTTTTATAAGTACGCTGTGAAGAACGATCTTGCACCGCCATGTCGTGGTCTGTCTTTTGCATCCAGTTGAAAGGGGCGGAAAATGGAAACCGTTGAAGAAGCCACTCGCGATTCTGAGTTTGCAAAGCAATTTGAAGATTATCTCAAAAGTTGCGGACTCCGTTTGACCCAAAAGCGATTGGACATCTTAAACCAGGTCTTTGACTATCCCCGGACATTTTCAGACAGAAGACCTCTTGGTTCAGATGCGTCGAAACGGTTACCTTGTGTCGCGCCCGACGATCTATCGGACGTTGCCGTTGCTGGTGAGAAGTGGATTATTGACGGAATTTATCGATGCGCAGAAAAACACTCGTTATGAGAGTATTCATTCACTTCGGGAGCATGCACATCTCATCTGCCTGCGGTGTAGTCAGATTGTTGAGTTTAAAGAACCGCAAATTGATGCGTTGCAGAAATCGGTGTGTGAAGCGCACGACTTTAAAGCAGTGCGCTTCCGTAATGAGATAATCGGTTATTGTGCTGAATGCCAAGCGGAGTTAGAACCAAAAACGCCTGATGAAGACGACGAAACTACTGCTTAAGCCGCGCCCACGTTGTGGTGAGTAGCCCTTCGGGATTAACATCCGTAGTCCCCGCTGTTAGCATTCTCGTAGTCTTCGTTTGTAGGTTCATACTCTAAGTCGCTTGACCAGCAGAAAACGTCGTACTGGACCTGGTTCGAGCTCTGTCGTGTCCATATCATCATGACATTTTCACCGTCTTGTAATTTGTTGACCGTGCCACCATCCTCTCCAAAATCGCCTGTCCGCAGCCATGTCCAGTCGGGGACGTTTTCTTCAAGGATGATGTGATCGGGACGGACAAGGGCGGGTGCCTCCGTCGGAATTTCATCGCCATCGTCGCCCAAAACCCATAACCAATCCGAATGGTTGCTCGGATTAATGACGCGCGCGATAAACCGCCAGTCCCCTGCTTTTCCATCAGCGGCACTGATGTCGAACCTATAGAGTAACCAACCTTGTCCACCGGCATTCGTGACAATATCGCCGAAGGCACCTTCCGTTGGTTCGAGTGCCCCTTCGGCTGTGCCCAATTTATAGACATCCTCGGAATCCCTTTCATCAAAGGCTTCCGCCTCAAACCAAATCTGTTCGCCACTCCCGTATTGAGAGACTCTAAATTCTTCTACGGCAAAGCCTGTAAACGGCTGTATCAACAGGAAACAGAAAATTAAACCGAAGGTTAATTGACATTTTTGAAGCATAATAATTCTCCTTCATCATATTTTTGTGCTATTTTAAAGAAGTCACTGCTTAAGCCGACCCCATGTTGTGGTGAGTAACCCATCAGGTTCTACCGGCAGTGTTTTCTCTTCCGCTTTCTCGTAGTCTTCATCCGTAGGTTGATATTCCAGGTCACTGGACCAGCAGAAAACGTCGTACTGAACCTGGAGCGAACTCTGTCGTGTCCATATCATCATAACGTTTTCACCGTCTTGTAATTTGTTGACCGTGCCACCATCCTGTCCAAAATCGCCTGTCCGCATCCATGCCCATGCGGGGACGTTTTCTTCAAAAATGATGTGATCTGGACGGACAAAAGCAGGAGCCACCTCTGGAATCTTAGCGCCATCGTCACCCAGAACCCATAACCAATCTGAGTGGTTGCTCGGATTTATGAGCCGTCCGATAAACCGCCAGTCTCCTGCATTTCCACCGGCACGACTGATGTCGAACGTATAGAGTAACCAACCTTGTCCACCGGCATTCGTGACAATATCGCCGAAGGCACCATCAGCGGGATCTACCGCTCCCTTCGCCTTTACCCAATTTATAGACATCCTCGGAATCTCGATCGTCAAAGGCTTCCGCCTCAAACCAAATCTGTTCTCCCTTTTCGTTTTCTGAAACTTTGAATTCTTCTACAGCAAAGCTTGCGAGCGGCTGTATCAGCAGAAGGCAGAGGGCTAAGCTGAGCGTTAATTGACATTTTTGGAGCATTGTGCATCCTCCTGTTTGCTGGCGGGATTCCTAACCCCACCAAATAGAGTAAAAAACGAAATCTCGACAATTTTTGAGGATTTCAGTTAAATAATGGTGCGTGAATTAGCGGTAACCTTCCTAACCACGCGGCACCCTATCAATTACAAGAATGATAACATATTTCACGAACTCTAATTACAAGAATGATAACATATTTCACCGAAAGCATCAAGCAAAGATTTCCAAATCTTCAGGGCTATTTAGTTTTCGGTTCCGATCTTGGTTTTCGTTCACATAAGTTAAGATTTTCGCGCAATATCGCGAGCACAGCTCGCTCCTACAGCGGAAAAACGTTCACGCATATTAGGTTATCTGGACATGCTCACTTTTGACAATGTCCTTGATATGCGTATAGGATGCGGGTTGCACAAGTTCAATGGTTTCGGGGGAAAGTCGTTCCATCACCTCAGGTGGAAACGGGACCCTATGTGCCCTTGCATCTTGGAAAAACTGTGTTGTGTAACGCAAGATGATAAATCGCCGATACCGGTCCTTCGGTTTCCAGATGAGAACCCCATGCGTCAGCAGTTCGGACAGGACAATCGCGTCGCCAGCACGCGCTGTCACATTAACTAACGCAGGATGGAGTTCATCGGGTGGATCCTCCGGATCCGGGAAGAAGATCCCCTCCGGGCGTTCAAAGTTTGCTTTGTGGGAACCCGGTAGGACAACTAAGCCGCCATCGCCGGGGTGGACATCGGCGAAATAGAAAAAGACGACGAAGTCGTTGCAGTAAATCTGTCCATCCTTGACGTCATAGCGGCGCGTCTGCCATCCACAATCTTCGCGGGCACAGTGTAACTTGCCGATGACCTGATCGTGCTCTGGTCCCTTGGCAAGGAGGCTGCCTCGATTAAAACGGGGCTTATTATCGGTGAGTTCCTTCACGATTGGCCATGTTTTCGGATGAAGTGTAAGTGCCTCAAGTGATTTGTCGAAGGAAAATCCGTTGGAATAGCCACCACCGCTATAACTAATACCGGGCGGGAGTTCATCCTGTGGCGTTTGGACGCATCGCTCGACGGCATCCTGTGTCTTTTTCAATTCTTCATCGTTGAGGACGTTTTTGAGGTGAATATACCCCGTTAAGTCAAAAAGGTATCGCTGTTTGGGTGTCATGTGTTCCTCTCCATCTGATTTAGAACTTAAAAACTTGACATGTGTCTGAAAATATTGTATAATTGAGGAATAAGCTTCTTTAAATGGGATTGTAAATTACAGTTTATCTCGTGAATCGTGGGGGGAAACCTTGTAAACCCGATTTACAACGTCTCATGTATACACTACAGGTAACCGAACATTATGAAAACCCGCGCAATGTCGGGACTATCGTTGATGCTGATGGCACTGCCAGTGTTGGTTCTCCTGTTGACGGTGAGATGATAAAACTGACACTCAAAATAACGGATGACGTGATCGTTGCGGCGAAATTTCGAGCCTTCGGTTGCCCGACTGCTATCGCGAGTGCTTCGATCCTCACAGAACTGATTACAGGCACCCATATCCCGGATGCTTTGGAAATTACTGCCGTGCAGCTTTCTGACGCATTGGGAGGGTTGCCTCTGGATAAACAACGTTACGCGAACACTGCTGAAAAAACCCTAAAAATGGCAATTGCTAATTTTCTGTCCAAAAAGGAGGGGTAATCACCATGATTACTGTTACAGAATCTGCCGCGCAAAAGGCGATCAACCTCATTAACAACAATGAAGCCTCAGCTGAATCCGAACTCGGCTTGCGGATGCAGGTTATCGGCGGCGGATGCTCCGGTTTCCAATATAATCTTGAGTTTGGTGCCGCGAAAGGGACCGACAAAGTTTTTGAATTTCACGGCTTGAAGATTTTCATGGATCCTCGTAGTACGCTCTATCTCGCAGGCTCCGTACTCGACTATAACGATGGATTAATGGATTCAGGCTTTAAAATAACAAATCCGAACGCTAAAAACACATGCGGTTGTGGTGAGTCGTTTAGCGTTTAACACATTTTCCTGTCTTCACTGGCGGGGTTTGAAACCCGCTTACTGTCTTCCTGCCCATCTTCGCTGGCGAGGTTTCCAACCTCGCCTACTGATGGCTGATGGCTGATTGCCCACCGCCATATTACGCCCACGAAGATCTTAACTCGTGCACTTTCAGTGATACCAATGTCGCTGGACTTCCCGCCGCATAGATTCCGATGTCCGCGTTGTCCAGATCTGGGAGAAAATAGGACGTCATTGAGAGTTCACCGTCATTTCCAAATGCTTCGATAGAGATACGGTCGACTAAAATTTGCAAGCGGATTTTCCCATTTCGTGGCGCGAGGGGTCCGCTCTTTTCTAAGAATGTTAGTTCCTGAGATGCAACATCGTAACGGACATCCTGCCCACGAATTTTGAAACCAATGGCGGTGGCATCGTTCAGGGCTATTTCCGCACGGATATCGAACAACTCACCTGTCAATCCTGCAAGCGGATCTTCACCCGGTTTGAGTGGAAGGTCGCTCCACGCGTGCGTATACGTGTGGATGTTTTCGATCTCTGCGACCGGTTCTCGGTGTAGACGTATACCCTCTGAAGTCGTCCGAAGGGTTAGTTCGCACGGGAAGCTCATCTGTTGGTTAAAGGGCATATCCGGTGGGTTACTGCCACTCATCCAAGCGATTTGAATACGTCTGCCATCGAATTCTGGCACATCGCTCCACGTTTGCGCTGCATAGAAGTTGGCACCGTAGTTGGAGCGTTGTGCGTCGCCTTCCGGTGTAAAGGTTGTTCCATCGAAATTACCAACGTAATATTTCCCCGCCGCACCCCAGAAAACCCATTTGGTATTATCGGGATCCCCATCAACAGGAAGTTCAAAGATGTCAGGGCATTCTGTATCCGGGATTTCCAAGTCGGATAACCGTGTCCACTCCTTAAGGTTTGTCGAACCGAACAGGGCGTAGTCATTTTGATCAAGGTAGAGTGCCATCACCCATTTTTGCGTCGGTTCGTGCCAGATCACCTTCGGGTCGCGGTTGTCCCGACGATTGTGCCCAATCACAGGATTCCCTTCATATTTTGTCCAACTCCGTCCGCGATCGTTGCTGTAAGCGATACTTTGTGTGAACGGCACCTCTTTCGGGGCGTGGCTGCCTGCAGATGTGTAGAAATTGACGAGCACCGCCTCGTCGCTTGTCTGGAAACCCCCCGTATTTTTCCAGTCTACGACACCAGAACCGGAGAAGATTGTACCGAGTTCATCTGGATGGATGGCATGCGAGAGTTGCTTCCAATGGACGAGGTCTGTGCTGACAGCGTGTCCCCACGTCATGTTGCCCCAGTCGATACCGGATGGGTTGTGTTGAAAGAAGAGGTGGAACTCGCCTTTGTAGTGGATTAAGCCGTTCGGGTCATTGGTCCAGTTGGTTTTCGGTGTAAAGTGGAACTGTGGACGATATGCTTCCTTGTAAGCTGTTTGAATCATTAACTATTTCCTTTCCGTTTTGAGCGTTGAAAAGAGATACGCGTTATTTCCGCTGTTTGCCTACCATTCTATGCATGTTTTTTATTTTGTCAAGAGTGCCTTCTTATTCTTGAGGGGCATTTATGGTAAAACCGAGAAATAGGTAGACACTTTGGTGGACGTAGGCACTGTTTCCAACTCTGCCGGATTCTAACACAAACCTTGTATACCCTAAAACCCTCTTGAGTCCCGGAGGGACGGTATCTCTGTAGATACACAGATTAGATAAATATCAGGTTTCCCCAGCGGGGCGACATCTATCATGTACGCAGACGAACACCTATGGATCTTTCCGACTGCGATAGATGTCACCCCTACGGGGTTCAAGAACCTTTTGGACGTTTTTCTACAGAGATGCCACCCCTACGGGGTTCAAGAGACATTCGCCGAAAGCATCTGTAGAGACCTACAACACATACCGAGAACTGTCCCTAAATTAACACCTATGGTGGGGTTGGAAACCGCACCTACCGCGGTGCCCAAATAATTATAGGATTTACCATAATCTACTGTCCCCCCCGAAGGTGCATCCGAAAATGTGTATGAACGGTAAGATTGAATGCTCCGATTTATCCGATGATTTTTTGTAAAGGCATACTAAATCAATAGTTTTGAGTGAAATTGTGCAACCATTTTTACCGGAACTCGCGTCATTATATATTGAGATAACATCTTAAATTTTGATGAGGAAATTGGAAAATGGAAACTCTTAATACCTATAAAGCATCATCAACTCACAGAACCATGCTCAATCTTGATGGCGATGCAGAAGTGTTGGTGAAAGGTTTCATCGCACCGATTGAGTACACAGAACGCAACTACCACGTGGAATGGGACGAATTGGCGAACCTACGCGTCACTGAGCCAAAGAAACGCCAGCCTGTATCGGTTTTCCAAGCGTTTCTCCCAAACGAACCTGTTGCGGTTGGCGACCTTTGGCAGATTGAAGAAGCCAGCGTCCTTGAATTGCTCCGGCAGCTTCATCCGAATCCAAATTTGGATATGCACAATGATTTCCGGGGATTCCTGCGGATTGTGGGCATGCCTACGCGCTTACAATGATCGTTTTGCCGACATCACCTTTCGGATTCATGCAGAATTCAAATTAGAGGGTGGCTGGTTTACACCGTCGCAGTTTACTGGGACTCTCATTATGATCGGATTGAACAGCGTGTTGTATTCTTTGCGATGTACGTCCCCAAAGGCACAGTAAATTTCGATCTCAATTGGAAGGGCGCGGATGCCGGCTTTTGTTCGCAGATGGAGCTCCGTGCGGGGATGCAGGATGTTCTGCAAGAGGCTGAGTTCACAGAATCTATCACCCAAGAGGAAGCGAAGCGTGCCTTGATACTGCATTTCTACGAATCGGAGCGGGTTAACTGGGTGCCGCCGGATCAGGCATTGGAGATGGCACAAGCACAACAGAAACCGATTCATGCTATCTCCATAGATGGACCGCTGGCGGATGAGTCGTGCTGAGGGACTGGAAAAGGCTTGAGGGCAGTTGCTCTCTCTGATGAAGAGAATGTTGCATTCTTGAACGAAAATTTCATCAATACCTGGGTATCGAATGTTGAATTAAGACGTACGCCAAGGCAACGAGCCTTCATGGCGCCGAGGTTCCAGGACGCATCCAAGGCATTTGACCCAGCGCATCCATTGGCACAAGCAATTATGAAGGGGTGGAGGAAAGACTCGCCAGTGGATTGTTTGATTCTCTCGCCAGAACTTGAGTTGATGGCCAGTCTGCCCATTAATGACTTCTTCAATACCAAATTGGTAGGACTCGGGGACGATGAGGCATATCTTGTGTTTCTTAAGGATCGTTAGCAGGGAAAAAGCCCGGATTGGATGATAACACCTCGGAACCCCAGCCAACTGACTGGAATGTTTTCTTCAATAACCGAATAACCTCGACACTGGAGACAGATAGTGATGAATCTTTGTAATGTCCTAAATAGTTCGGCAAGTCTACAGGTGCATGCCCATTGGGAACCAATTGCGGATTCTACGTTTCGTATGCACAAAGCATTGCCAGAACACGTTGAACTCTTCGATCTGGCACCAAACCAACCTGTCAAGGAATACCGAACTGATGCTTCAGTGCGTTTCTTCCACCGTCAACTGTAGGGGTGGGTGATGTCTGGGAACTTGATGCGAACAGTGTTGTTTCCTTCCTTCATCAGTTTCATCCGGGGGCAACAGCTGATTTAGGTTACGGTGAGGAAGGTGCCTTTGCATGCTTACGCGCATGCTCATCAGACTATGCAGAGATTGCTTTCCGAATTCACGCAGAATTCACGTTGAAGTCTGATGCCTATCAGGAGTGGCAAGAGGAAAATGATGAGAGGGAGTCCGAAGCCAGGTTTATTCCATCGCAATTTGCCGGAAAGATATTGGTAAATCTAAAAAGCGGAACGGTTCGCGCGTTTTCGTTGGCACTACCGGCACGCAATAGCAATGTTGACCTGAACGCCTATGGTGGAGCAGATATGGTCTATGTGCCGCGTATGGAACTCCTCGCCACGGACGAGACCGACCCAAACGAGATCGCGTGGGACGCTGCTATCACAACGGAAGAGGCGCGCCGCATGTTGGGATTGAAGTTCTATAAATTCGCCGAGATTGATTGGTTGCCGATTGATGAGGCGGTTGTCCAAGCGAAAGCGACCCATCGTCCGATCCATGCGATCCTTGTCTGGGGGTGTGTAGACGATGAATCTGTTGCTGAGCGAACGCAAAAATTTGAGGGCGGGTCCGCTCTCCGATTCAGAAGTCATAAAGACGCTCAACGAAAAGTTCGTCAATACGTGGGTTGCTCCTCCGGGAATGCCAGAACTGATAGGTGGTGCGAAAGGCGAGACGGGAGTCTTGTCGCTAAAGAGGATGAAACACCACTATACCGACTCTGTTGATATTCTGGCATTGACCCCCCGATGCGGAAGTTATCATGCATCAACCGAGAGATGGCATTGCCTTACAGGAATCAGCCACAGCTTACCTATCGGTGTTACATGCATGCTGTAGATGCGTTTGAAGGGAAGCGTACACGTGTGGGAAACGGGTCGAGATTAGATAGGAACCCGATCAGTTTGGGTACAGATTGATGGAGATTTTGCACACTTTTAGCACATCCGATACCGATACGCCAGATTACACGGTCGTTGAAATTGATACCACACCGTTTGAACGCGGACTACTCCACATTGAGATACAGGTGGGAGCGGGTGAGGCGGTAGGGACATTTGAGTTGTTTGATGCCGATGTCGAAATTCTGACAAAAGAAGCGACAGATAAAGCACTGACTGGCGCATGGAACGTTGCGCCTGATAGCATAGGGCATATCTTTCACCATTTCGGGCAGAGCCAACAGCATTTTAAGTTGGTCGCTACAGGCGCAAAAAACCAGAAGGGTAATCCCAATGCTTTTCTGGCGCGTGTCTCTGTCATTCCTCCATTTGAAAAATAGGAGATATTGTCCTAACTTGCTTGTCAACGCCGGACTGCATATCTGCGTTTATGATAGCAAAGTCTGAAAATGCGTTGACATGTTAGGAAATGCCTCCCTTCCTTCGCTGGCGAGGTTTCTAACCTCGCCCGTGTCGTTAATTGTAGGCTTTACTATAAAGAATCCAAGTTACTCCCTAAAAAAGCACTATACACATTTCGCCTCGCAGACGCTAAAATCCAATGCGAAGGAAAGCTTTGCATGTGTTTTGCGGATGTTCTACATACCTATCGCCCCGCTGGGCTGCTGATACCGAGGTGTCTTTTTCTACAAGTTTTCTTGAAGAGACGGAATCACAGAATATTAATTCAGGTTTTAACAGGAGTTGGCACCACTTCTTGGGAAACCCGCCTGAATAACTACGAATTTTCCAAACTTTAGTATAAATCCGTGTCAAATCGGTCATTTTGTGCATTTTGTGCCAGATTTGTGTCGAATTTCTCTACTTTTTTCAGAATTAGGCAACCATTTTGACTGTTCCCCGCGTCACTATATATCGAGATTAGAATCTACGCGAACAGAAACTTTTCGTAGAAAAAATGTTTGCAGAGTGTATTTCGATAAATTTTATATAGTAAAGCCTATAATTACTTGGACGCTCTAAAGAGGCGAGGATACAATCCTCGCCAGCGGCGGTGGGGTCGTTGTTCACTGACTAACTGTCCACATATTTTTGGACTTTACTATAATTGTAAGGAGATTTGAAAATGAAAACCCTAACAATTGGACTGCTCATTCTGGTAATGATGAGTGGACAGTTGAACGCCGATGACCATTCGGCAACTAACAACAAAATTGCGCTTAACCTTGATGGTACATCTGAAGTGTTAGTGGAAGGCTTCATTGCACCGATTGAATACACACAATATGGCTTTCATGTGGAGTGGGATGAACTGGCAAATCTGCGGGTTGCTGAACCCGAGAAGCGGTATCCCACATCGGTTTTCCATGCGTTCCTTCCACCTACAGCGGTTTCTGTTGGTGATCTCTGGAAGATCGAAGAAGAGGGTGCGCTGGAATTACTTCGACAACTTTACCCGAAGCCAAATCTGGATATTATCATGAATGCGGGGGACTCTCGTGGCTTATGGGCATGCCTGCGCGCCTACAATGATAAATTTGCTGAAATCGTGTTCCGCATCCATGCAGAATTTATCTTAGAAGATGGTCGGTTCACTCCGTCTCAATTTGCCGGGCATCTTGTTATTGATCGAATTAAGGAAAAGGTTGCCTCCTTCAAGATGTACGTTCCTGAAGGCGTACTGAATTTTGATGTTGGGCGAAACAGCACCAGAACTATAGATGTCGGCTTTTGCCCGCAAATAGAACTCCGTGCTGGGACCCAAGATGTTTTACAAAACAACGAGTTTGTAGAATCTGTTACACAAGAAGAGGCTGAGCGCAAACTTATATTGCGTTTCTACAAATCACAGCAAATCAACTGGGTATCTTT